TGCTATAGGGAACCTGCTTTGGCAGGGGGGTTGGACTCGATGATCTCTGGAGGTCCCTTCCAACCCCTACAATTCTGTGATTCTGTGAAAAGCCTATCTGCAAACTGAAGGTTCTGGTAATGCTCATTCAGTTACACTCATTCAGCTCCTAACATAAAACCTTTACACTGTGTGTGTGCAGGCAATATGTATAACTACTTGCTTTCTGTCTGAAGTGCACAACTCTATGGTATCTGAGCATAAACTTGTGCAAGACTAATGCCTCATTTAAGTAAATAAAGACTGTACCATTTTAGCTGAGGGTGTTTCTAAATCAATATAGTTGTATCAGTGTAATTGTCTGTGAATTAACTTTTATTTTTTAAATTATTATTTCCCAGTTTAAATCCAAATTCCACAGAGAGTCTTCTTGCTTTCTCAGTAGCTCTGTCAGACATCCTGTGATCGAGGCAGTCCTAACTTCAGGTTGTTTGCCTGTCTGAATTAGGAGTACAACCCAGACCATTAAGACTTCACGTATGCTTAGCCTACAGCAGCTGTAGCACAACTGAGTGTATTATCCTACCTACACAACATCACAGAGGCAAAAACGATATATCCCTGCTGATGACATTGTAGGAACCTTCTACCACAGGCAGCAACACCCCTGGAGGTGACAGAGTGAGTGATGTCCACATTCAGATCCCAATGAATCTGACAAGTCTGTTTCTCACACTGCAGTGAAAAAGCATTGAAAGGGCAGAACTGTCCAGGTTTGGACCTTAGTTTCCATACTGCCTTGAATCATTAAGTGTCCCTAGCAGTTATATCCTCTACACTTTGGAGGTAGCTTTTCCTATCAGAAAAAGTAATTTTTAAAATGCAATGTTTTCTCTATGAACACAATCTTCCTTATTCATGTATAATGTACAGTATACTCTGTAGCCTGAAGCAGTGATTGAGCACCTGGTGGGAAGGCATGGCCAACTCAGGTGCAAGCAATGCACCTGAGTGACCATAAGGGGTGGAGCCTGGATCCACCCCTCCCACCCCAACCCATTTAGGGCTTGGTGGGGAGGCAAAGGTATCTTGATGGAGATTCCTGCCTTCTGAAGGTCTTCCAAAGGGAAGCAGTTTTTTTTCCCCCCCCCCTTTGTTTCTGTGTCCACAGCTGCTGCGTTTTGGCTTGTTCACATTTCTGCAGCCTAGGATTGTGCCACCCCACTATTATTGCTGTACTTTCCATCATGTTATACAATATTCCATGATTTCTTTTTTTGCACTGAAGAGACTTGCACTGTAATTAGAACCCTCGGGCTACCAAGAAGTCTAAAACATTTCTGATGTGAACAGGAAGTCACCATGTGTGTTGCTGAATTCTTGGTTTTCTATTGACCAAACACCTCTTAAGGCACTGCAGAGGTTGCTTCCCAGGAGCAGACACCTGATCTTTATTGCATAAGGACAGCCACATTTTAGAATTACTAATTTGCTTCGTAATAGCTCAGGGAACCTCCTATTGTTTGTTTATTCTCCGAGTATTTACCGTAGTGGTGTGCTCAGAATTGGTTAGGAGGTGTGAAAATTCCTCAGAGGGCGTTTTACTGGCTCAGTGAGAACATTAAGAACAGAGGCGGCCTTTGAGTGCTCAGGGCAGCGTGCCAAGACTGATGGCAGCTCCAGAGCTGCTCTCATTCTGCTGCAGGTTGACAAGACAGAAGTTGAAACCTTGCTTAGTGCAGAGCATCATACAATTAAAAAAAAATACTTGAGGCCTTGCAAGAAAGAGGAGGACACTTTTTTTAATCAATATATTTTTGCTGGTCCAAACAAGATTGTAATGTCATGCAGCACACTGCTCTATTTTTACCACTCATTAAATTTAACCCTCATTTCAAATCAATATACTCATTTCAGTAGTGCACAATGTCTTGCCCAGCTACTCTATGCTGCATTATGTGAAGTACCCTACATACCTATGGATTTCTTGCACATAGGCAATCTTCCTCAAAATATTTTTCTTTCTTTTCCCTGGTGCTGCCATTCATAAACGTGTATCAGACTCAAGCATGAGCATCTCAAACACAGAATTACAAATGAGATTAGTATAAATACATGTGCAGTTTTCTCCATGCTGATGAAGCTCTGGTTTCACTGAAACTAAAGAAATTTTTTGCCTTAGATTTCAATAGAATCAAATTATAAATTTATTTCAAGAATACTTCAAGAATATGCATTTCTTACAGGGGAAAAAAATATTGCGCTGTTAAAGTTAGGAAAATTAAATAAAAACAAACTAAAACTGTTTCTGGGTTTTCTTACATCTGGAAACCCTGAACAGTTTTGTTTGGAGGGAAGCAGATAGAAAAATTGCAGATCACAATCCTGGCTACTCCTATTATTTAAAATATCTCACTTTAAAGTTTCTTGGAAACAACTGCATATTCAGTGAATCTGTACTTTGTTTTACTACGAAGTCTATTTGGGGTCAAGAATAACTAAATCATACCATTGCTAATTGCACATCATAATAATCAGTTATTTACCATAAATATCTCATTTACATGGCATTCAGGAGACGGGGTCTAAATACAGATAGGAACAGAGTAAAGACAGTGCTTGGTATTGGTGCTATGTAACTTTATAAAGCAGTGCAAATAAATTGTTTTATCGTTGTGGGAAGTATTCTGAAGTTTATAGGCAACCTGAAAAACTCTTGTTAAAATGCTGCATAGAAGAATTCATATGTACATTATGAATTTACTGCAGACAATGTGGAATAACATAAACTGAGCAACAGATAAGAGTTTTAATCATTACTTTTATATTTATGTTAAATTTTCCTTAATTTATTCCAGCTTACTATAACACTTCTACTTTCATCATCTTCTAACCCTCTTTGTCTCCATTTTAAACATCAGAAATAAAACACAGATCTTGAAGCTAATTAAAAATCTATTTTAGTCCACTGTAAAACACGTCAAGTCCAAGCACAACTAATTTTCTTGAGAACTGAGTAATGTACAACCATACAACTCCAGCAGGGAGGCTCATCAGGCTGAGAGGTAAATGAAATAATTTCAAATTTAAGGGTCTCTGAAAATTTTAAATCTGCTGTGATCGTAGGTATGCAGAACCACAGTAATCACTACTAGAAAAATGTTACAATAATGAAAATAGGGAAAAGAATCCACCTACACAGAAGGTGTCAAAAAAACATGGGGTTCCAAATCATAAATCTGTCAAGACCCATAAGAATTTACAATGTGCAGTACCATTACTTGGTTTCTAATCTCAAATTGCCTGCCACAGCTAAAGGCAGAAGGTAAAGAAGGGAAAATAATCTATTAAAGCAATAGGGGGGGAAAAGAAGAAGCTGTGTTATCTGCTTTTCTAAGTGAAAAATTTAGAAAATTAGATGTGGCCTTATAGACTTCAAAGGAGATATGTGACTCTGAAACGGAATACTCTGATCAGGCCTTAAATTCACAAAAATTAACTTTGCAGGTGTATTTGTTCCAGTACTTGTCTCGAACAACCATGTGATCTGAAAGCCCTGCCCTAATGCCTCAACTTGGAATTTCCCCATTTCTCTCATCTTACCCTGTTTTGCTTCGGAAGAAAAGATTTGCAGCCCTGAATGTATTATGACTGTAGATCTGTGTACAAAAGGACCATATGGATTTCATATGGATTTGTCTTGAGCTTGACTCCCATTTGAAGTCTTTGAAATCTATTACTGGCTGAAATCACACTTCCATCTTACCTACAGTAAAGGCAGTAACAGGGACTCTTTCACCCCCCAGCTGTTTTCATTAAGCTTATAAGGACTTCATATTGCTGACAATGAATGTTATTACTTCCTTGGGAGAACACAGTGTAAAACAAGTGGTAAGGTTGGAAACCAGGAATGGCACAGAAGAGGAAAATGAAAAGTAATAGTTCTATATTTACTATGACATTCTTACATGTAAAATGTGGAACTTTTAAAGTAATACTGTACGAAAAGAGTATAAAATTCTCATATAAAATTAAAATAGTAGCAGTCTTCAAGACCTACTGTTTTTGGAATAGGAATAAATAAACACAGATAACTTTGAATATTAAAATCATGACTTTCTCAAGAAATTATTGGTGATAATGCTGTTAGAATTTTAAAACTAAGTTGGTCACACTTTAGAAGCACTCAATATATATTGAACATATGGATATTTCCACTATATTTTGATCGTGTGATGTGAACATCTTGTTACTTTTTTAAAGTACAATGAAACATTCCAGTTAAGTCAGCCAAGTTTTAGCTAAAAATGGCTGTGCATTCAGTAAAAACACTTCATTTTATACTACTAATTTGTAGGAGAAACTGTTTCAATTTAAGACATTAATATTTCAGAAGACATCTTTCAAAAATCACCACTGTTGAGGTCTGGACAGACCACTAGGCAGTAGCCCATAAAATAATGTAACAATGTTTGACAATTGATGCAATTATAATTTCTTCTATAATTCTTTCTATAATTTCACTGATCCGTTACACTAATTTCAGCTTTAACTAAAATTTCACCAAGTGATAGCAGTCCCATCTACTACCTTTTTAACTGTACAAAAACATGACCCTGAACCATTTTGACAAACCACAGGGGGGAATTTCTGAGAGTTTCCTTAATGCATTCTTTATTCATAAATACTGCTTTTCCATCTCTTCATTTCCCCTCCAGTTGATTAAAATGATGGGGGTTTTAGATGCAATGGTGCCAAGAAGCACACAAAAGAGTGTGAAATGCATGACTAGGAAGTAATGTAGTCATGTATCCTCTGAAAAGCACTTACAATACGGATACATGTCTACAAGCTATATGCATGTGGAGATAATTAGTTGCTTTGTAACTGTGCTGAGAGCCTGTAATAACACATCTCCTCTTTCACTTATTCATGAGATTTCAGAATTCAGATAATACATGACTTTCTTTAAGAACTTAATTTTATGTATGTGAGCATTTCGAACTGTATTTTTTTCTTACCTGTAGCAGAGCTGCAAACAAATATACTGCTATGAAGATTGGAGTTAAGGAAGTGTGGCCACTTTTCATTAAATGAATAGTGTACAAGAAAATTAGATGACCCGGAATCACCAGAAGAAGCAGGACTTGGGCTGATTTGTTATTTACTCCTACAATTATAAAAAAAAAAAAAAAATCAGTTAAGATTTTCAATTTCTATACCATATTCTTTGCCCACAGTTTGGATGGGTGTACGCTCTGCTGGATGAAACACTGGCTGGAGTTGTGGTCAGCAGAGATAAATCCAGTTGGTCACAAGCAGTGTCCCCCAGGGCTCGGTACTGGGGCTGCTGCTGTTTAACATTTTATTAATGATCTTGACAAGAGGATAGAGTGCACTCTCAGTGAGTTTGCAGATGACACCAAGTTGGGAGTGTTGGTCTGCCAGAGGGTAGAAAGGCATTACAGAGGGACCTGGATAGACTGGGCCAAGGCAAACTGTATGAGTTTCAATAAGGCCAAGTGTCGGGTCCTGCATTTTCATCACAACAACCCCAGGTAACCCTGTGGGCTGGGGGAGGAGTGGTTGGAAAGCTGCCTGATGGAAAGGGGCCTTGGTGTACTGATGGACAGTCAGGTGAATATGAGCCAGCAAATGTGCCCAGGTGGCCAAGAAGGCCAATGGCATCCTGATGTGGTGAGCAGGACTAGGGAAGAAATCTTGCCCCTGTACTTGGCACTGGTGAGACCTCACATCGAGTACTGTGTCCAGTTTTGGGCATCTCAGCTCAGAAAGGAAATGGAGGTGCTGGGGCGGGTCCAAAGAAGGGCAACAAGCCCTGTGAAGGGCTTTGGAGAATATGCTCTATAAAGAGGCATATGCCCTATGAAGGATCTGGGGCTGTTTAGTCTGGGGAAAAGGAGGGTGAGGGGAGACCTTATTGATCTCTTCCAATACCTGAAAGATGTTTACAGCAGAGATGGGTTGGTCTCTTCTCACTGGTGACAGGATGAGGGGAAATGACCTTAAGTTGCACCAGGGTAAGTTTAGGTTGGCTATCAGGAAACAGTTCTTTATAGAAAGGGTTGTTAAGCACTGCAATAGGCTCCCCAGGGAGGTGATTGAGTCACCATCCCTGGATGTGTTTAAAAACCGTTTGGATGTGGTGCTCAGGGACATGATTTAGTGGAGGGTTGTTAGAGTTAGGTAGTATGGTTAGGTTGTGGTTGGACTTGATAATCTTTATGGTCTTTTCCAACCTGAATGATTCTATGATTCTTACTGATTTTAACGTGAGAAGAAATTTTGGCATTCCACAGCATTGGCTACTGTGGAACAGCATGCATTATTTTCAACTAAAACTTGAAGTTTTCCACACTGGGGAGGGGGGAGGAGGAGGGGATGTCATTCCTAATGTATGCTAACAAAGTCAAGCAAAGCTCTTCCAGAAGAAGGAGCAAGCTGTGTGTATTTCATCCATTTGTGTTCTGTACTTAAGTAATATTGTCTAGTTTTTTGGAGCTCCAGTGGCCTCCTAGAGCCTTCCTAGGAAACAGGATGTTTTGGATACCATATTCAAGCCATCTTCAAAAGTATCTCATACGTCTAAAAATTACACACTATTTTCACATCTGTCCCAATGCATTTCATAAATATTACATTGTAATACATGCAATTAAATGTCAAATTTCTCTACAGTTACTACATTATTAGTAAAGGGGGAAGTACAGGGAAGAAACGAGTTGCAAAGAAAGCATGTGGAAAGAAAATGGCATGTGAGGAATGAAAACAGACTAGGTTAGTAATGATGCTACAAAAAAAATTTGATCTGAAGGCTGATTTAAATTTTTGGAGTTAAATGACAAAGGCTGGAAGGGAAACAAGAAAAGATAAAAATTTTTCTAAGTGGGTATCATCAGTGTCCTGCCTGATTGATCTCTGTCTTTGACTCCAGCCAGGGTTACACTTTTCTCCCTGATACTCTCTATGCATCAAACTCCTGCAAGCTGTTGCTTGTGGTTTTTATGTGTAAATAGCTGCAGGCAATGGAAACTGCCAGACCTTTGCTGCTTCTGAATTGCATTTGAGTCTCTCGCTGGGGTTACAGTCATACAGGGTGAAAAAGAGGAAATATAAGACACTAGTTTTAACAATAAGGTGATTAATACGTACCTGTACCGTAATAGGTTCTGCATGGATAATAGCAACCCTTGGCTTCTTCTGGCAGCTCTCCAGGAATGCTATGCAAATGGAGGTAGGTAGAAATTCTGCTAGCTTGAATAGCTACTAGATTACCACCAATACCTGAGAAACAAAATATTGGTATAAAAACTGGTACATTTTCAACTTTTTTTTTTTTTCCATTAGTAAGTAAAATTTGTAAAAACTCCCAACCTCCTCTCTGTTTACCACAGTCCCCTAAACATGAAAGTCAAAAAAGTGAAACATCTTCAGAATATGTGTGCTACAGACAGGCTGCCACCAATCTCTAATGTAGTCAAACTTGGGTTACAATTTACTGTATCACTGAAAATTTCGTTATCTGGAATATTCCAATTGGAAATTTGGAAATATTATGATGAGTTTTTATTTGGAGTAAATGCAAAAAAATTCCTCCAACGCATCCAACCTGCTGCTTTTGCATAAGTGAAGCTCCATTGTAAGGCTCCTTGTTATTTGGCAATCCCCCTTGGAAAAACAGAAGTACTACACAGCCATGCCACTGCTGGATGACTTTCCTAGGTCGATACTGCTAACATGTATAAATAATGCAGAGCTGATGCACTCATTACCACAAATACAAATGCAGACTTCACACACATAGGGACAAAAAGGAATTCAAGAGATAATTTATCCATTCCCCTTTGCCATAGGTCTTCTCTGTGACAGCTGTTGATATGCTTTCCATTAGGAGAGAAAAGGCTGCTGTGGAAGAAATTTCATCTCAATGAAATGAAAATTAAACCAACTTGATATAGCTATGTTACAGAGTGGAGTGGCACTAGCATAAAACTCTCCACTCACTATTACACTTGAAAGTTGCCTGCTTGCATATCAAACATATCTCTTTTTTTTTCCCCCATATGCTTTATAGATCTGAGAAGATATGATTAGGTAGAAGTCATGCATATCTTGTCCCTGCTTAAGCAGGAGAAAGCCCTTGGTTATTGTAGTTGAACTAATTTGTATATCTGAATCTTGGGGCTTTGGTCTGTCATCACCAGAAGAACTTATCTACCAAATCTCTTTGGGGACCATAATGTGTTTAGGACAAAGACCTGATACTAAGAACCTAAAGAAAATTTTCTGCCTCACTGCATCTTAAAGATGATTTTTGGTAGAATCTAACAAAGGTGTAAAACTTCTAAACAAAAGGCTTCAAATAAAAATAGGGAAATAAGGAATTAGAAAGAAGTCACAGAGTTTGCAGAAAGGACAGTTTACCAAACCTACCTGCCTCTTTCCAGCCAGGAGATAGAGGGGAAAAAATGTGAACTATGAAAATGTTTATTCAGCCTTTGCAAAGAAAATTAGAAACAGATATTTTTTTCAGCAAACTACAGAAACTGAGGTAAATTAAGGGATGTATATAAACTATAAAGGGGATTTGAACAAGATAAAAAATTATCTAAGTAGAGCCCCAAATCTATCTTTTGAGTAAGAACAATTATTCTTATACTTCTGACTAATGAGAATAAGGTGAGGAAAAGGAGACAGAAGTTAAATGAAGGATCAGTGCACTACATTTGGATGGAGATCAGATAATTTCTGTGACTGAACTACAGAAAAAACTGTCATATAAAAGTGCGTTTAAATAATGCTACAAAGCTCAGGATGATGCTATATGATGAGAAAATAAGAAAGCTTCTGCTTTAAAAAGAGGGGATAAAAGCTATCAAGGTAATTGCAGGCAGGCTAGAAATTGCAACAACTTATATATTCAATTAGATATCTCTTCTCTTGCTATCCCTATCTTTTAAAGCATTGTAAGAAGAAATAAAAGATAAAAGAAAATAGAGCTATCTTCCAAGGTATGTTTTGAGGCTTGTAGCAATGAAACCATATATGATGCTGGCAAAAAAACTGACTTCAAGTATTTCCAAGGATGTAGGCAATTTCCTCTTGTGACTGATAATCATCTGCTGTAACAAATTCAGACAAACAGAAATATGATGGATTATCTGGACATCTTTCCCTCATTAACAGCAGAAGAAACTGAGAGAAAACAATCAAGGAAAATGGAAATTCAACCATTTGAAATAATAACATATCTGGCTAAGCAACAGAGATGTAGACTAATGCAGAAGAGAAAGTATGAGATTGGCTGTCAAATGTTTGATGAATAGCAATTCATCCCAAATAGTTTTATAACAATAATTTAGCAAAAGCAATTGCCAAACCCTATTGGGTATGTAGATTTCAGATCACTTATGGTCTGAGTCTCAATAATCTAACATCATTAAACTCAGAGAACCTCACAGGATACACCACTGATAGCTCTCAAATAACCTTATGTGCTTTATGCAGGTTCAATATAAAAAACTTCCAGAATCCACAGGTCCTGCTCAGTCTCAACCCACTAACAGTATGTGATGATGGACAGCAGCAGTCATACTATCCTTTAATTCTACCCAACCACTCTTCCTCCTAACTATTAGTGAACATTTGGGCCAATTTCAACCACGTCTGACAAAAGGCTTTCTATAAATAACGGCTGTCTCCAAGTACAAAGGCTAACCAAAATGAAAGCATGGCTAATCCTAGGTAAATAAAGATTCAAATCCATGTCTTAAGTGAGTCAAGGTAGTAATACAAGCTGTATATTTCTCAGCATAGGTGTGCCAGCTGCACAGTCAGCACACAGCTTGGAGCGAGGCACGATGCCTCTTGTTCAGCTGGTAGTTCAATGACACAGAAGATGAATGATGGTGTCAAAAGCAAAGGGAGAACAGAGAGTGTTGTGAGAAATAGGTATTGCAAGGACATGAGGCTGCAGAACACTGTGGCTAGAAAGGTGCTCTAAAAGCACAGGATATAAATCAACATGGAATAAGGTTTCATTATTCTGCTGGTCAAAGAATGACTTGAATAAAGCTGTGCTTGCATTAAATGAATCACTTCACTATATACAGAGATATTCAGGGCTTTTTTCCTTGTACAGCAGTTACTGTGCATGTGAAATTATCCCAGCAATATCAGATTAATCAGATCCCTACAAGAAGCAAAAAAAACCCAGATAAAACTGTGTAGGTTGACAAAATGTCAATACACACAATTGATAGCTTCTGAGCATCTTCTGAACGCATAAAACTGTAATGTACACAGTAGCTGCTCATGTTATGAAAATCTTTTCAGGCATACCTATAGACTGTTTCCAAGAATATTTAATTGAGAAAATTTGTTTTCTGGAAAATACTATTGTAATCATCATAGCACATAATTCATAACAAAGACTTCCTTAGCTTCTTTTCATTCTCATGAGAGAGAATATCACAGAGGAAAATAATTGCTTTGAAAAGTAAAATCCTGCATCTGCATTCAGGATAGCTGGTGTGTTTAGCTTGAATACAAGGTGCTGCTTTGTACTTCCCCTAAGAATAGACATTGTCTGCTAAAGTGTGAAGGTTGTCATGCTGACTTACAACATTAAAAGAAAATTGAAGACCTCATCATTTTATTGAGTCAGTCAAGGGCTAAGCGAGAATAAATACTTCTGAATTCAGTTTTTTCACAGTTCTTTTTTCGTATAACAAGCACACAAAACTGTATTTAAAGTAGAGCCAAAACCATGTCACGAATTTGTGAATATGCCTCTGGACATGATTCTACTAATCATTACGTGGAAAAAGGCCTGCCTAATAGGACATTAAAATCAATGGATCTTAAAGAGTATTTCAAAGAAGATCTGTTTCTCTTTACCCACTTTAGTGCTCTACAGGTAAAAAAAAGATAAGTTAAAGGAAGCAGGATGAATTTTGCTGATGCATCCTAATCTCAGATCATCTAATGTTCTAAGTAATACACCAGGCTGTTGGTTTGTTTGTTGTTGTTTTTTCCACATGCCTTATACTTCATACTTTGGGTAACATTGGGAAAACTAGGAAGAGTGGCTGATACATCAGAAGTCAGTGCTGCCATTCAGGGGAACTTGGATAAGCTGGAGAATTGGGCTGATAGGAAGTTCAACAAGGGGATATGCAAAGTCCTGCATCTGGGGATGATCAAGCCCATATACCAGAACTGGCTGAGAGTCAACTATCTGGAAAGCAGCTGTGCAGAGAAGGACCTGGGGTACTGGAGGGCAAGAAGTCAACCGTGACCCAGCAGTGCACCTTGATGGCAAAGGCAGACAATGGTATTCTGACCTGCTTTAGGAACAGCATCGTCATCAGGTGGAAGGAAGTGACGTTTCCCCTCAGCACTGGCGAGTGCTGGGACTCATAGGCCCATTTTTAAGAGAAGCCCAAAAGACAACCTTACCCATGCAAACCATTACATTTTAAAACTGAATTCAGCTCATAAATAATTTCTTTCCTATGCATAATTTTTAAAGTGTTCCTTGACTGTCAAAAAACGAAAATATTCTGGATCTAATTGTGATGTGGGAATTAATCACTACTGAAATCTTGTAAAAAATGTATAATACTTAATCGTTAAGTATTATATGTAAATGTAAAAATACTTTGAAGAAAGAACTCACATCTATTACAGCAGAGGTTGTGAAGACTTGCTTGTACAGACTAGCAACTAAAAAGGAGTAGAACTGTCACCTAGTAATGAATGAGAATTAAATATGCAGAATCAAAATCCTCCTTTTTCATACCAAAATAAGGACTGAACTATTAAGTTCTCATTCAGCATAGGTGTGTTGTAAGACTCTTACATGCTTTCCAATTCAAGATAAAAGCTACTGTGCTACTCAGCCAATTTGCTCTAATACCATAAAGGTATGTTGATATCTTTGTAATTTGCAGAGGAAATTTTCAGAAACTCAACTAAGACAATGATTGGCTTCTAATCAAAGTATTTCTTTGTTGCATGAAAGCTGAGAGTACAACCATCTTATAACAGAGCAAAATACATAAAGTAACTAAAAAAATACATTTTACTTTTTGAGGAGGAGTGATTTCTGTGTTTTCTTTCCACATTCTCATAACTTAAAGGAAAAGATTTCTGAAAAGCCTGAAACTCATTCAATTTTCCTACTAATTGTACAATTAAAAAAGGTATAATTTGGGGAATATATTACATAAGCTTAACTTTCATCTCCAAGCTAACTGACACTCAATAAGTTTTGTGTAAAATTTTCTCATACATGCTTTTAATATTCCTTGCTCTACATTCATTTCCTCCCCATATCAAATGCTCTTGTAATTTGTGCAGCCAAAGAGCAGGAAATATTACAAGCGGTTGGTGTTACCCTTAAAGAGTCTTGTTTCAAACCATATGTAAATGCAAGTTTTTCTATCTGAAGCCTACAAAGTGGTTCTGATTTTCAGGCATATTTGGAATTAATTTGCAGAACCTCCTTTCTACAAAATGCATAAAAATGGAGTGACATCTACTGAAATGTTGGTTATTATGCAGTAACTCTCATAATGTTTTGTACAAGCATAGAAGGAATATGAAAAAGGAAGTGGCTTTATCTAGTAACTGCACCTTAGTTCATTTCTTCTGATTATTCTGAAGCATGTAATTGTTTAAAGTGCTATCTTTTTCCTGCAAAAAAAGGAACTCAGTTACTTGCAAATTGCAGTTCCTGAGCCAAATTTGACATACTGTGATGCTGGGAGAAGATTTGCAAATTTTAACCTTCTCATCCATTGGAAAACATAAAGATCAACTTTTGGTATCTTCTGGTAGTTATGTTCTTCATAACTTCAGTACATCAAACGCATATCTAAGCCTCAATGAGACTGCAAGTATCATGATGACTAAAACCACAAAATGATTTATTTATTTCCAGAAAGCAGAGTTACAATTTAACCCAGCCAACTACAGATTTAAAAATAATTATTCATCTAAAGAAATGTGTTTAACAAGGGAAAAATGGAAAAATGGTTGTAAAATACTTCTGCCCAGCAGCAGTAAAGTTCACTATAAAATGTCTGTCTGCTTAAGAACTATTTAATATTCTTGGCAAATATTTGTAGTTATTGTTAATAGGAGTAGGAGCTTTTGAGGTTGTTCAAATTCCAGACCAATATTTCTTAAACCAAAAGATACATGGTTCCAAATCATATGTGATGAAAGTGACTTGTCCCACATCTAAGAATACGCAAACCACTTAACAGGACCATGTCAAAAGTCATTCAATGGCACGCGCAGGAAGTCTAACACCTGCACTGCAGGCCATACTGTCCAGGACTTCAAGACACCCAACAACTGGCACTGAAAATACCAGTGACAGTTTGAGATCACCAGTAAATTTATATTGTCCTCAAATTTTGGTCGGCATAATCCCAATAGATTAAAATTTTCCCTTCAGGTTTCCCTATGAGATAGGAGCAACAATCTCTAAGGGAGAAGGAAAAATGTACCTCAAAAGCTTTTTGAGAGGGAAACCCTTCGGCAGCTTTCACTGTTTATGCTTACAACAAGAATTCCAAGGACAGGAAAGCGCTCATAGAGAAAGCTTTCAGCAACAGTAATATTTTAAAAGCCGTCTATTAAGTGGCCTAGCCCACCTTTTAGGTTAGTAAATGAGTGTCAGTGGATGTGCTTTTTTAACTGTAAGGTTAGGTTTCTGTTGTTACAGTCTGAGATGATAGCAAAGAACCTCAAATATATGGACACAAGACAATGAACAACTAGCTGATGGTCCAGACATTACTACTTACTGAAGACATTCAAACCTTGAGAACTGGGAAAAGACAGCTTTACTCGTAACAAGTATGAAAAACCCAAATGAGCCATGGCACCTCTTATGGCCTGGAAAACAACATTCTCAGGCATTGCACAGTAGTCCAGGAGTGCAAATGTCAAAGGCTGACCAGCCTTGAAACACAAGATATCCATAAAAATACAGCATTTAGAATAGGAGTGGTGCAGTAACCACAGGAATCAGCAGAGAACCACTGTGGAACTGCTACAGCTACAAGTCTACTGCAGTAGCCCCAGCTTTCCCTCTTTCCACCTGCCTAATTCTTCAAGAATCTTTTGACCAGCCAGCTAATCATCCACAACAATGTATAGCATTTGGCTAGTTCATTTTCTCTCAAAACAGTTCAAAAGAATGTATGTACTATTGCCTTAATTCCATTTAGTAACTTATGAAAGAAAATAAGAAATAAAACGGGGCATTTAACATTTTCTCTAGAGGTATGTTTATAGCAAGCTGTCACTCCTAGCAGTTAAAATTACTTACTTAAGTGTAATCATTAGCTAAAAATTGTAAATAGGTAAAATATAAACATGCAGGCAACACAGGTTTCACAGCTAATTTCTGTGAAAGAAGCCAACCTTGAACAGGATGCAGAGTTCCACGTACAACAGCAGTCCATAACTGCTGTAAGGTAAAAGAACATCATCACTGCAACATTTGGAAGGAGCACGAGGCCTTGAGAAAGGCCTGAGCCCTTGAGATCTGTATGTGCTGTAGGCAGCAAGACTAGAACAAGCAAGTCTATGGAGGAAATCCAGAACTATTTTGGTACTGTACTGGAGCACAGATAGAAGTCTGATGGAAAACAGTACAAAACAATTGCTAGACAGTTGTTTGCATTTGTAATCGATGCATATCGTCTAAGAAAGCAGGACCACTGGTAAGAGCTTTGGGTGCACCTGACTAACAAGCAAACAGGATCCTCTTCTATGTGAAAGTTAATCTAGGGAGTAACCAAAGAGGACTATTATGAGAAAACTTTCAGATGTAAAGCTGTAAAACAAAGTAAAGAAAGTAAAAGCTGAAGGTCATCACAGTTGCTCTGCTCTTTAGATATCTGGAAATCAAAACGAAACAAAATAAAAGTAGATGCAAATGCTTCTAATTTTAAATGAATATAAAGGACAGGCACAGGCAAGGAGCATAAAGACTGAAGAGTAAAAAATCAATTTACAGTCAGCAAAGAACAAAAGTTACAATAATGAAATGCTTCATATTTAATAAAGAAAAAAAAGAAAAAAGGAAATATAGGACTGTAATGGGAAGGAAGAACAAGCAACCTGCTTTATGGAACACAGAAATACATGATTCCTTTTGTATCCTGTCTTTGTAAAAAATGGAGATGCCTGATCACAAACTTGTTCATATTAAGTCTGTAGTGCCTGAGGATAAATTCAATTTAAGTTTAGAGTGTCCTTAGAGAGCCAGATGAACAATCCATGAATTATCAGGGATCATTTTTGGAAACTGATTATCTTGGAGGTTAGCAAATACCAGAGAGCTGTAATAGGGAAAACAGAAACTGTATCTCTAAGGACCAAAAAAATATCACCTGGGGAATCTGCATGTCACTGGAATTTATTCCTAGACAAGTACTGGAACAAATTATTAAACAGACAATTTGTAAGTGTTGAGAAGACATAAAAGTGGTAAAACAAGAGCTAACATGAATTTGCAAAAAACTTGCTTCCATCAAAGTAACAGAATTTCCTCCTTTAACAAAACAGCTTGCCTAACGGGCACAGAAACAGATAAACTAATTCTTGACCGTAATAAAGGTTAGCAAGATGTTTTGATGCTACCCCATGCCACATTTACATTAGCAACCTCTGGCAATTAGTTATACAATGGGCAACGTGTTTCAAAAATATTAGTCATCATTAATATTAACATTCTGTTATCAAAGATGGTGAGCAAAATTAGTGATTATAATTTATTTAATCGATACCTCAGAAAAAAGTGCCCCTAGAGAATTTGCAAAGGCCAAGTTACGATAAGTCAAAGCACTCTGTAAGCCAAAATCAGAAGTCGGAAACATCTTGATAACTGGAGAAATGGTTTTAAAAATAGCAGTGCTTTAAAGTGCAAAATAATGTACAAAATCAAATAAAGAAATACAAAAGAGGATAAGAAGAGCCAGGCAGCAGTATAGTGGAAATATATCTGGTTATTATAATTACTGCAAGCTAATTACATATCAATCATATGATGTCGATGTAAAAACATTTGAAAAACATGCATTTTCACAAAACATTCAGCCTAAGTCTAATAAGATATTAGATATTCATACAAAATTTGGCTTGATGTTAACATTACATATTAAAATTCTAATTCATGGAGTAAATTATCGTCAACACATTCTCACAACTGGAAAGCGCACCACAAAATAGGAACCAATACAAATACTTCTTTACAAATCTATTTATTTGCCTGTAGTATCTGTGTTAGTTCTTACACTTACATATGTTGCAAGTAAATATTAAAATACTCTTTCGAAAATTTGCTCCTGGATGTCCAAAAGGAAATCCTTTGAAATAAAATTTTATTTACGTTTTCCTCAGTCAAAACAGTTTCAATATTCTATTTGTTAATACCTGTATATACCTCTACTTCCATTTTCATAGTTTCTTAATGCATGCTTTAGGTTTCTGTTTCTCACATTTAATACTTTAATAGTTGTAAACAGGATCAAGAAGCTCTCCTTGGCAGTTCAAATTAACAATTGTTGACATCAAAATCAAGACTTGCAATGAATATAGCAGATCCTAATTTGCATAAAAAACATTTACTGTAACAGACTTTCATCAAATGAAGGTGCATCAATTGCTATATTGAATTATACAATCCTGCCATGGTCTTACCATTGATTACCGGGGTATAAACAACAATTCCAACCAAGTTTGGATCAGATACAGTTGTGTCCAGAATAAGGCCACCAATACTGAAAGACAAAGTACAATATTTAGGATAAGGCAAACAGACACATTAGTCATTATTACAAAACTGTTTTAGTAATCTCATCCTTGTAATATCACAATTTTCTTCTCAGTTTATCTTACTAACCTTATTTACTTGTCAACCTCATTAACTTGCTACAGTTACTGGCTTAAATATTACAACTGGTTGTATAACAAAGACAACAGAATTTCATGCAATCGCTCATCTTCTAAGATTCATAGCTTTCATTTGACTAAATCACAGTGTTGATAAAAAGTTGCAGGAGATGAATAGTTCGAGTAGTTCACCATTTCCTTCATTAGATATGACACACTGCTGCTGAACCATTTCCACAGTGTATTGTTACCTTCTCCACTCATTCTAAACCATGACTTAACTATGTAACTTCCTAATTTTTGGAAGATTAGCCTCCATATTCTAGACGCTCCTTAAATGTTTCTTTTATGCAAAGTTAAATTAGATATATGGAGACAGAGGAGAGCCAAGGCAAACCACAACAGACTCACCTGCTTATAATCATGGCAGTTATAACAGGCTCCCATCCTGAATGGAGAACAGTTCTAGTAGCTGGGTGTTTGGCAGCTATGACAATCCCCATAGGAGTCAGAGCCAAAAAAAAGGCACCAACCAAAGGAGATATATAGTAATATGTTTCTGAAAAATAATACAGAAAAGTAAGTGTTTTGCTCTCCAGACATAATATAAGTTGTATTCTACATCAAGCAGTTGAGAAATTTTAATAGTTTTTATCACTACTGTTTTCACTATGCTATCCACTACTGCATCAAACAATATGGTGGGTATAACATCTACCGTATGTGATCACCTTCATCCATCCATCAAGGACAAAACTATCTGTGCAAAGTAGGAACCTTTGAAGAATGTTTTTGTTTGATGCTTAATGATAAAAATGCAATAAAGATGTGGAATATAAAACATTATTTTGTTACACATCTCTTAAAAAAAAAAAAAAAGGAACTGAACATGTTGAAAATACATATTTTTTAATATACAAATTCAGAGCATATGTAAATCTCCTTCTTGCCAAAGCACAGATAATATGCTAACCTTCCCCAACACAGAACATCTAAAATGATGCAAGCACCTGGTATAATATTGAAACATTTTTATTAGTAGTTCAGTTGCTTTATAATCTGTCTGCAAGACTGGAAATCCACACCCATAATTCCACTGCCTGCACCCATCCATCAGAACAGCATCATATTTCATAGAAACACAAATACAAATACCATTAACTGAGTACCATCATAAAACAGAACTAATAATGCAGAGAGCTGTCTCCACAGAAAGAGTAATAAATTTTTCGGCTTAGTTCAGTCTTAGAGTCCCCTCCACTCAGAAGCCATCACAGTGATCCAGAAATTCCTAATTCAACAGTGTGGTAAGCAACAGAAAATTTATTCTCATGGCAAATATATACGCAGCTCATAAAAACACCTCATTTTTGCATATATTATTTTTATGAGAAATGTGGCAATGTATTTAATGTTAAACACATTTCATCTGAATTTTCAGAATTTGGACAACTCAATGCAAAATACAGTTTAAATTAACAGGCTGAAGTTGTTCTATTTTTTATTTTTTTTTTTTAAAGTAGTATTGAGCCCCCAGTACAAGAAAGACAGGGAGCTGTTGAAGAGGGTCCAGAGGAGAGCCACAAGGGTGATCAGGGGACTGGAGCATCTGCCCTACGAAGACAGGCTGAGGGAGCTGGGCTTGTTCAGCCTGGAGAAAGGAAAGCTGCAGGGTGACCTCACTGCAGCCTTTCAGTACCTAAACAGCCTTAAACAGGAGGGGAATCAACTCTTTGAAAGGGCAGATAACAGCAGGAAAGGGGGAAATGGTTTTAAGTTGAGGGAGGGAAGATTTAGATTGGATGTCAGGGGGAAGTTCTTTCCTATGAGAGTGAGGTGCTGGAACAGGCTGCCCAGAGAGGTTGTGGATGCCCCATCCCTGGAGGTGTTCAAGGCCAGGTTGGATGGGACCCTGGGCAGCTTGGTCAGGAATTAAATGGGGAGGTTGGAGGCCCTGCCTGTGGCAGGGGGGTTGGAGATTCATTATTCTTGAGGCCCCTTCCAACTCGGGCCATTCTGTGATTCTGAGATGTAGAACACATAAACTCTTCAACAAAGACAAATACCCAGTATATATAAAAATATTCCCACCCAAGCATTATGACTTATTACAAAGCTTGTAAATTCAAGCAATTACTACTTTGATGTTATCATGGTGGAGGGAGGGATAACAGCTAAAATTACTCCTTAAGAATCATTCCAGTATTTTTAGATGTTACTGTCCTTCTGCATTGACTGGTAACAACCTCTGCAGCAGAGCTGGCACAAGGGACTAAGATTCCTATCACAGTGTAAGCTAAAAGTAGAAAGCTATCAGAATGAGAAAGAGACAAAGTCCAAAAGAGAAGTAATTTTTCCATTCCTTTTCTAGCTATTTTACAATATATTATATCCTTCCTTCGTAGTGCCTTTTTTCAGTCTTTTTTTTCTATAAGCAAAGAGATGGGCCTAATGTAAAAAAGTCTAACTCAAAAGAACATATACATGATACTTTTGTTCTGTCAAACAATAAAAAAGAAGAAAAAAAGTACTGATAGAAAGTTCTTGAACTTTTTGTCATGTGGACCGCTGCTTACTGCACAGCTAAATGCATTTAGCAGAGGGTTGTTAGAGTTAGGGTAGTATGGCTGTGTTGCGATTGGACTTGATGATCTTTAAGGTCTTTTCCAACCTGAGCAATTCTATGATTCTATGATTCTTCCCTCCACTTGCAGCAAAGAAAGATCCCTGTGTATACTACAGCTGGTCACATGGAAAGGCATCATTTATTTTATACCTATTTTCTTAAACCTCTGATACTTCCCTCTTTTTCTCCTTTTAAGAGACGTTATGTTCCTTTTACTTATTCATTTTCTCCCTCTATGTCTGTTCTCCTCATATGCACCCAAGTTGAGGCACTCACATACACCAGAGCCACAATAACTGAAAGGTCAGAATGAGAAAACAGTTCAAAGATAGGATCCTCTGTTGCAAAACAAACAAACAAAAAACACTTAGCAGCAGAATAGAGATGCAGTGTTGAGCTTTATCCTAATTATTCACCAGTTTTTAAAGATCTCTCACTTGCACACTTGCCCATTTACTTTTATGACAGGATTTTTACTAACATAGGAAATTAAAGTTCACAAAAGCATGGCATTAACAATGTAAAGAACTTGTTAAAACGTGTTTGTGAGAAAAGGGAGAATATTTAACTATCAACATCAGTCTCTAAGCCTTGAGAGCTTGTTCAAGAATTACTAAGAACACTAAAAATAAGCATTCTTCTAGTCAACTATGTTGTGTAACTCCTTCTTCTGGGAAATAAAAAGAAAAAAAAGCACAAAGATAAAAGAGAAACCATTCCAGCAAATGTACAATGATTAGTAACCAAGAGCTACTTAATAAGCAGCTTTTAATAAATTATGTAAAATAAAAAATGCATATACAAATGTATCATCCTGCCACAGAAATGTTTTATATGGTATAAGAAAAAAGGAAAAAAGTGGAAGACAGTCTTCAGTGTACAGTGATTCATGAACTATAACCAAAATAATTGCAATCTACATGTGCAGTGCAACAGGACTGTAATATTTCAGAAATCAACAAACAGCCAAAAGCAATGGAAACTTTGCAACTCTTATGAAACGCAATTAACTCATGGCTGATTTTCAACCCTTTTCACTATAGGTGAACTCAACAACAGCAGCTACATGAAAGAAAGAAATGCGTACCTATACAATATGACAGCTTTTCAATCTACAGTGAGGAAAGCAAAAGTTAGATAAACTTTCAAGAGGGTGAATATATGTTTTATAGTAATTTTTAAAAACTGTTTAGTGATATAAAAGATGATAAGAAAGAAAATGCAACAAGTGGTTTTTTTACATGCATGAGAGAGGGCTGTCAAGACTACTCAGCAATAGCAAAAATTTCCTCTGAGACAGCAAGTGAGAGGAGTTATTTTTTTGGCCATATTTTAGTGTTTGTACATATTTTACTACGTACAGATGTCTCAATTTTATCATGGAGAAAAATACAGAGAAAAATTTATACCTGACACCTTTCAATGGAAACAGACATAGACCAGATTATAAAAGCTACCCAGTGTTACAAGAAGAGTCTTGTAGAGTCAAGAGTCTCTTCCTGAAAAGAACAAAAGCCAAGAGTGGTTCTCAGAAGCGGAGATGTTTGATGTCAGGATGAGTCCAGAGCTTAGATTTAAACAAAACAAAACAATAGCGACAAAAATAATACAAACTTCTGTTATGATAGTATACTAGCACTCTATTAGGATTCCCTGCTTAAAAAGTACTAGAGAGAATGATGAATGGATGAATAGGCTATCAGCCATGCACATACTGCTAAAGAGGAAAACATCAGGTATACATATTAATCAATTTACCCGTTTTAGACTACACAACTAAAATTTATCTAGTTTTTACGGGAAAGAAGATGTAAAATTTAAGCTAAGGCAGCTGTTTCTTTATATAACTTTAAATTATACATCTCATCTATTAAGTTTATCTAAAAAGAGAACCATAGAAGCAATTAATAGTTCAGAAGCATATAACAGAAACTATCACAAGTAAGCTATGCTAGAATACAGCTCCCTGCAAGACCAGAGAAACTGCTCAGCACAATCCAACTCTTAGAAACAGCATGCAGGACTTTCCTTTAGCTATGGGACACTCTACTGGTAGAAAAGTTTACTACAAAAATCTTAGGAAACTGTAAGGTCCAGATGCACCCCAGTCATATTCAATTCACAGAGAAATAAACAAATTATTCTACAGTAGCTGGAGAAGGGGAAATGGAATAACTGACCCCCCTTTTAGGGCTCATTTATCTCCACTTTGATCACTTTGTAATCTTTATCTGGTAGATTTTTACATGGTAGATGTAATCCTGCTCAGTCTGCTTTGGTGGCTCTGCTATGGAGTTTATGACGTCTACTAGAGAAATATAAATTCTAGAAACACTCAACAGTTCTTCAACGAAGTTGAGCCTGTGAGCCTGAGTAAATAAAGAAGGAGGAAGGAGAGAAAAGGTTCCCAACCAAGTCCTTACTGATCTTCAGTTTTTTAAGCCCCCATCTCCTCAGTAAACACTGACAGCCATCAATCGTGTCTAGAGAACTCAGATGCACAACATTTATTCCTTACGCAGGTATCTACTGCGATGTACTGTGCAGTGTGGTGCCACTGAAAATAATGCAGCCACTGGCAGGAATTAGATATGAATTAGAACCACACTACTTCTGGCATTGGTCAGCCAGGAGAAGAGGAGGTTCAGGTTCATCATTGCTCTCTACAGTGAGCTGAAAGGAGGCTGTGGTGAGGTAAGGGTTGGCCTCTTCTCTGAGGTAACAGTGATGGGATGAGAGGGAATGGCCTCAAGTTGCACCACATTTAGGTTTGATATTAGGAAACACTTCTTCTCAGAAAGAGTGGTGATGCACTGGCACAGGCTGCCCAGGAAGGTGATGGAGTCAAGGCGTTCCAGAACTGCTTTGTCTTCTCAATCTACGCCTAAGAAGACTTGAAAGATAGGCGCATGTATTTACGGCACGTTCTGTAGTTAGAATAGGCGTTAAACGAAGTCACCCCGTGAGCTCGAGTGACGAGGTGCCAAGGGTGGGCCTGGAGCGCCCCCTAGCGGCAGCTCCGCCCCCTGCTGGGGCGTTCCTGCTGGAACGGGGAACACGGCCAGAAGGACGCAATCCTCCGTGTGAAATTCCTTTCCCCTGGCTATGTAAGTACGTAGCAATGTGTTAGAAGGCGCCGTGATGTTATGCAATACGTACAATGCGCAGTAATTACGAAGCGCACGAATTTGAATCATAAAGATCGAGGCAGTTCAACACCTTCAGTGCAAAGGGACAAATCAACAGGGCTCTGGGAAGCACATAACTGACACGGGGCATGCAAGAAAACTGGCTTCTCCCTACCTGCCATATCACTACCATCCCCCACACAAAGGTGGCTTCTAGGGATAAATAACATACCGAGGAACATACTCACCAAGGCAAGCATAAAGACCCTGACTTATCCACGCTAGAATAGCAAGAGTGATAAGATCTCCAAAGCTTGCTGCTATAGGAGTGGCAACATTGTCAGGATTAATTCCAGTCTTCTTTGATCCAACAATAACTCCAACCATTATTATTCCTAGATTCAACAAAGAAGAAAGAACAGTAATGGTATCTACTGTTGTAATCACTTAGGAAATTTCAAGATAATGGCAAGTGGAAACCTAGTAATTAAGTCTTTGCTTTTGTCCCTCTCACTTGACTGACTACTCTTTTAAGTTTCAGTCATTTTAAAAAATTAAGTTAGATTTTAAAAGAAAATGACACTAAGCATACACAAAAAAAATCAAGAACCATCTGTATAATGTATTATTTTGCTTATGATTAGAATTAGCCAGACTGAAATTGTAAATCAACCATTCCCTGAAGAAAAAACATTCAGCATATTACTTCTACGTCCCATTAACTTTGGATGATTGAAATTTTAATGCCTCTACCCTGAAAACAACATTAGATAACATATCCATGTGTCTGAAATTGAGAAAAACTGATATTACAATTTTCATCTATTTTAGCAAGTAGCATTATTTATTGCAGGCTAAATTAGGAGCTCACTTTCAGAAAAACTGCCTAGAGAATCACATGCCAAGAAATTCTCAACAGGACTGAAATGATGTCAGATTTCCAAAGTGCCTGTTTCATGCAAAGGAGGTTGATGTTCAGATAGTAATCTCCTGCGCAAGCCCATCACCAGATAACACCGAAAGTTTATTTTCATGTCCACCTAATATATGAGAAGGGGAAAAAACACATTAATGTTCCCCAGCTCTCCTGCTGCTCTTAATTCTGTAGCATGATCAAATTCAATGGCTTTGTAGCTATTAAAAAAAAAGTGTAAGCTCTTAATTGAATGCATAACCTTAACAATTTCATAATTTTGCAACAATTTCATAATAACTTGCATAAATAAGCAAGTCAATTTAATAGAAAGGAAGCAACATATTTTACTTGATCTACTATTATTAAGGCTTCTGATACTGTGGTTTTTTAAGAATATTTCAAAGGTAGAGTCACTCCTTTTTCACCCTTCTGTCCTGTAAGTACTGCACTCTACAGCTAAATATTTCCTGACAACTGGCAAGAGACGTTTAAATCCATCACACTGTGTGGCTCAGGACAGATACATCGATGCTGCTTGCAGAAGGGGACCTGAACTTGACCCAAAGCCTTCACACAGCAAACCAAATTGTTCACTTCAGAAACAAAGCAGAGCAGAGGATAATATACAAGCTGCGTGGATAAACAGGAAGTTTGGATTCAGCTGAACTAAAATCGAAGCTCACTTCATCTTAATTACAAATATGTCCTACCTGTTTACTATTAAGAATAAACTTTGTACATCACTGAATACAGAAAGTAGGAGAAAACAAATTCTTCACCCTACAAGGTAAAATCTAAAAGACATATGTTTTGTTTTAGACATGCTAAGGAGGACAGAAAATCAAATATTTTTGAAAGAATATGACAGATGTATGCAATACTCAGGCTTACATGGAAATTGTAAAAGGGCATCCTACCCGTAACTGTGTTTCAGATGTTTTAGACCCTATTGGACTTAATTTTTTCATGAACAGCAGCATAATATACACTCAGCATGCAGAGAGAATTAAAAAGCTATAAAAGGTAACATATATACTTCTTTTACCTTGTAAAAGAGAAGCTATGAATGCAGTTGCTACACTGCTAGAACACAGAAGGATTGAATGACTGAAGCTGTATTTGCCTTCTGGAATCCAGCCCAATATAACTGCTGCCACTGCTGCCAGAAAACCAACTACTGTTGCCTGAACCTGGAAAAATAAAAGAATGAAAACAATTGTTTTTTAGTGATAAGTGACTCCTAAAATAGTTGATAGTTTTAAGAGGATTGCAGAATGATTTTGTTATTCTTTCCTCCACATCTATTTGCAAGCTGTAAAGGGAGCATGCTCCGCTCATCTACTTTGTGGAGATAGTGATAACTCTAGCTGACCAAGAAGAAACATCTCATGCTAACAGGAAAGGCCTTAACCACAGTTCACAGACTGAAGAATAACAGAAGTCAGATTAGGGAAAAGAGCTGAGGAATTACAAGGAGCAAAAGATGAAATGCTTCAGAGGTTCCTAAGCCACTTAAAACAATGAAGTCACAGCATAAACTTTTCACTTATTCTTGAGTATGTTGCTTTATAACACAGCACATGAAATAGTTCTTAAGATTAAGAAATAGTTGCTTTGGAGATCAAGCACTCCTTTCCTCAAATGAACAAACTATTTAAAATATTGCTTGTTACCCAAAAGCTCCATCACATATTCTTTAAACGTTGAATCCAATGAAAATACAGCACTGAAAATATTTGGGAGGTCAAATTCCTTAGAAATGTGCTTTCAAAAAAATTAAAAGGAAGTACCCTTGCTGCAGGCCCAAAGAATACTTTACTTTATATTTATTGTGATAAATATAAGTTTCTATTGCTTTATAGAAGAACTATGCAGCACTAAAAAAGATCAGTCACAAAAACATTGCACATTAAGTATGAGACTTAAGTAGAATTTGTTTCCTTTTAACACTGGATCCTTCTTGTCCACATTTGTGGTGGGCTTTTTAAATAACTTCATTTACTTAAAAAAGTTAATAAAAAATCAATTACACTTACCTGTTTTAAGGCCAAATTGCCAATTATCAAGTTCCATTTCTCAATGGGAGAATCCATTTTTCCAATATTTACCTGTCAAAATTGTAAGAGAATTAGAGACATTTGGGTTTAAAATTGTATTACTTTAAAAATTCACTAACAAGGCAGAAACCCACAAGTAATTCAAATCTCATTGCAAAAAGAGACATTCTGAAAGTAAACTAAAACTTCTCTGTGCTTTTTCAAGTTAAACATTCCGGTTGATTTAAAATTGTATTTAAACCATCTATACAAAAGTAGCTAAGCTCAGTGCAGCTTTACATGCTAACTTGTTTAACATTAGCTTATTGTGCAAGGTACACTAGCTGCCTTGTGTTCCAGGAATGTCCAGGCACCACTAGTGATTAGATCAGAGGCTGAAAGGGAAAGTTCTCAGTGTTCAATCACCACAGGCTGAGCTTGTTTCTGTGGCCGTTAAATTCCATAAGCCAATCAAAAACTGCACAGGAATACAGTGTATGAGCACAAACACTCTCGTGGGAGTGTGTTAATTGACTGCAGTAAAAATACTTGCATTCAGACATTGGAAGTGATTAGAGAAGATGATAGACCACATCTCATTGCCTTTAGTATTCTAATTTTTCATTTACACAGCACAGCTACAGACTTACGATGCTTTAATGATATAGGTCCAATTGAAACACAATTGCTGGAAAGACAGTAAAGTAATTATTCTGACAAAAAGTATGCACATACTTTTACTGCAGTATTTCATACCTGCATTTATTTTTTGAATTAAACGAAAACTCTGAAGATAGCATGTACCACTGCAATATGACAATATTTAAAATAACTTCCTTCTTGAACTAAGTTTTTAATATTTTTTAGCATAAGCTGCAGTGATGTTGTCCACAGAATCCTAATCTTTAAAGCACTTTATATTTCTCTATAGGTCTTAATGCATATTTTTTTCCTCTTCTGATAATTTCTGATTGGTTTTACTTCTGTTCCATATTGTTCTATTTGTGATATTAATCAGTTGTGCAGAACAAAGTATTAAAAAAACAGCAGCTTAAAAAAGGAAAATGAAATAAGACACTATCTCAGTCTGCACTGTCATTATTTTATGGTGTTTGAAATACAATCAAAGCCCCACAGGGAGGTGATTGTCCCTCTACTCTGCTCTTGTGAGGCCTCATCTGCAGTACTGTGCCCAGGTCTGGGACCCCCATTACAAGAAAGACAGGGAGCTGTTGGAGAGGATCTAGACGAGAGCCACAAAGATGATCTGGGAACTGGAGCATCTCTCCTACGAAGACAGGCTGAGGGAGCTGGGCTTGTTCAGCCTGGAGAACAGAAGGCTGTGGGGTGACCCCATTGCAGCCTTTTAGTACCTAAAGGGAGCTTACAAACAGAAGGGGAGTCAACTCCCTCATCCCAAGCTGGATGTGGCTCTGAGCAACCTGGTCTAGTGACTGGCAACCCTGCACATATCAGGAAGGTTGAAACTAGATGGTCATTATGGTCCTTTTCAACCCAGGCATTTTATGACTCTGTACAAGGGTAGATAATGGCAGGACAAGGGGAAATGGTTTTAAGTTGAGGGAGGGAAGATTTAGGTTGGATGTCAGGGGGAAGTTCTTTACAGAGAGAGTGGTGAGGTGCTGGCACAGGCTGCCCAGAGAGGTTGTGGATGCCCTGTCCCTAGACGTGTTCAAGGCCAGGTTGGATGGGGCCTTGGGCAGCCTGGTCTAGTATTAGACGTGAAAGTTGGTGGTCCTGCCTGTGGCAGGGGGGTTGGAGCTTGATCTTTGAGGTTCCTTCCAACCAGGGCCATTTTGTGATTCTGTGATTCTATGAACCACCTTTGTATTTTTTTTAAATATATACAATCAATGAATTAAATGACAGGCAATGGAGAGCTTCTTTTTTTTTTTTTTTTTTTTTTTTTTTGTTCTTTGAAGAAGCATTTAAAAAGTATCCAAAAAACCTGTTAAAACAGTAATTTTGCAAAATAGCCAATCCAATCCAAAAGTGAGCTGCTACCAGAAAGTGCAGTTCTTTTTTCCCCTACCATTGGCTACATGTTTGTCATTCTTCAGCCAGATCCACCAGTTCCACGAGTGAGTTCACATCAACTCGCATGTCAAGCAGAGACTGATGGAAAACATTCTTTTGTGTAGTGAAAAGTTTGGGTTTTTTTCCCTACAAAATGATCTGATCCACCCATGGTGGCACGAATACTCTTCGGATTTGAAAGGAAGAAGGAAAGTAGGAGGACTTCTTTCAGCTGCAGATTTCTATTAAGTGAGGTAAAGTTTATTGATATACTGTGGAATACACGAATCCAAACAAAAGGCTTGTAAAGTCACATTGCTAGCCTGATAACACACAGTAAAAATGAGAGTCTGAATAAAGTTGACAGGGATGTCTGGATGAGTGGGTTTTGGTGTTTTTTTTCTTTACTTCCTCTTAAAAAGGGAGAAGTAATAAGGAGAAAAGGCAACAGTGTGAATAGAGAAGATGAGAATGACGCAAAAAAAGCCAAAACAACACTGAAGAATACAAAACATATCACATACATATCATGCTTGAGCAGGCAGTTGACCTAAGTATACCTCATACACTTTTCAAGGAGTAAGAGAAAACTGTTTACATCCACGCTAATGCCAAAGACAAGTACAAGCTATGCCCTGAAATTGACTGAAACCACAGTCTTGAGACAGTGAAATGACTGATTCCAAACTAGAATGATCAGTAGCAAACAGCTAAAGCAGAAATTTGAGCAAGAAGATGAAGGTAGGTGATCAGGTAAAACTTGAAACCAAAGGTACTACTGATAAGAGAAAATAATTAGTTTACAACTCCAAAAGCACAGACACAAATACAAATTCATATGCAATTATAAGCTAGCTGAGCAAGAATTATCTCCAACACTGAAGTCATGCTAGGAATTTTATCTCCGAAGCAAAGTTATTCACAGGGGCACAGTCTTGCGTTTAAGATGTATCTGGTGGGGAGCTGGCTTTGGCAAATTTAGGAGAGAAGATTAATCGTACAACTGCCTGCCAATAACTGCTTAGATATGTCCTGTATTAATATATTCCTTCAGTTTTCACTTAGGGTGAGGATAACAGAAGCAAAGATGGGATGGCTGAAGAGAGTCACAGTCAATTAAATCAAAATTTATGAAATGTGCAAAAGTCAGAGTAATCTCAGAGAACTGGCATGTAAATTGCAGGTCCAGTAGCAAGCTGTTTGATTAAACTTTTCAGAAGGAATGATACTGTACAATATCGCACCTGTTCTCAAAAACTGGGGAAGGCAGAGCAACCACTGCAACTGTTCATGGGTTTAAAGTCTTGTGTGGTTCTATGTGGTTCAGTGATTGTGTCATCAGGAAATGCCAAGGAAATCAGAGCTTCCACATGCAACACTGCATTGTCTGAAGAAATGTATGCTTTTCCAGCCTCTTCTTGGTCAGTTAATCTACCTTTATGTTGGCAGTAACCTGGCTTGGTCAAGATAGCCATGGAAAATGTTTGCTGTGACGTAAGAGGAAGCCTTTCATGATATGCTTGAATAAAACCAACTGAAGCATCAACTGACTTACGTTTTGGTGAGACTTAACGGCACTGCTAAGTGACAATAGCAATACTTCTCAAACTAAGCCCCTTCATATTGGGCTGTTCTTATGGGGTTTGTGCTTCAAATGGCCAAACTCAAATGGCTCTGAAAAAAATCAAGCTTAAGACACCTGCAGATTATATTATCACACAGATTATAAGATTTCCATTCCATTCAGGGTTAGGGAAAGGGGAATGAACCCCATAATGTCCATTTTAGTTAATCACTGAGAATGCACCCACTATTGTAGAAACTCCAGTGTCAATTTTCTCTGTGTGAGGAAGATCAACTCCTGTCAGTTCGGTAACAGTTGACAGATGATATGAACTGGGGTTAGCATAACACAAGGAAACCTTCACTGGATTGCTACAGTTATGTCCATCACAGTGTGCATTTGGGCAATGATTCAGTATAACGTGATAATGAAATTTACTAATGACAGAATGGTGAGAGGCCTTGTCAATACAAAGCATTTCAAACTGGATGACCTTGAGGATTACATCAAAAGTGATGATGTTCAATAGTACAAGTGCAAGGTCATGCACTTAATAGACTAACAATGTTTCTGCCAGAATATGGGAGTGACAACTGGAAATAACACAAAAGAAGAAATACTAGGACATGGTAATTGATTGCAAAGTAACTATGAGGTCCCAGCTTGACATTACTAGGAGAATAAATAGATATAAACAGGAAAGTTTCAAGAGCAATTGTACAGAGAAATATGGAAGTGTTATTTTACAGTGTTATATTGAGGTCTCATCTGCAGTTACACACACCTTTGACCCAGCATTTTCTACAAAGATTCATGCAAGCAGGAACAGGCAGAGAGAAGGTGGCCTTGATGGCAAATGGAAAGCTTATCTTACAAAGGAGAAGTACTGCAAAGGTGGCGTTGTACGGAAATACATAATTCAGGCACTAGAAATAGTTTAGCCACATAATTAGAACGCTGTTCACAATAGCTACTCCCACACACAGAAAAATACATATGCTAAGGCAGTTTGGCTTGTTTAGGCTAAAAAAAAAAAGAAGGTACAGAACATCTCTTAAGATGTAGAAAAGAACTATGACACATACAAAAGAAGATATTAAAAAAAAAGAAATAGTTATCTTGCAATGCTAACAAGAAAAAGAAAGATGACAAAAAGCATAAAATTATTTAGCTAGAAGGTTAATAAAATCAAACCTTCCAGTTTCATCAACAAAGGTCTGGAATAGCTTCATTTCAGAGTTAAGAGGTCCATGGAAAAACATGTTCAAAATATATAAAATCTGCATGTTAGCATATTGAAACCCCACCAAGGTCAGAGATATTAGACAACCTTACAGAGTACACACGTAAATCTCAATTATCTAATATACTGTTCTGAATGATGGCTTAGAAGAGACCAAAGAAGTAAAATATTGATGTGTGGTGATTGGAAGAGGCTTGCCTTTTTAACGCTGTCAATTTAATAACAGATTAAACAGCTCCTGCAAAAGCCAGATTAAGCCATAAACATAAAACACTAGTGTTCCAAAGATTTGTTTTCAGGAATTTACAATACCTATCAGAAGAGAAAGTTACTTACTGCAGTTGACAGCCTGGATGCCAAGGTCATTTCCAAATTTCCTTTGAGACCAAGAAGAGCAGGAACCAGGATAAAAACTTCAGTAACATTCTTGAATACATCCCAGTGCTATTTAAAGGATACAGTGAGGAAAAAAAAAAAAAAATCAATTGAAAAATGCCCTTTAGACCATCTTAAAAGTAGTGCCAAAAAATCTGTAACTTATAATTTAGGTCTCTAAAAAAATCGACCTTTGAAGATTAGACCCAAAAGTCTTTAAGGCAAGAGTTGCTATCCATCTAGTTAATACAGAACTGTGCCTGCATACCACTACTTCAAAGACCAGAATACGAAAAGCAAGCAATACAAAATCTCCTAAACTAATTTCTCCACTACTGCACTTTCTCTGCGTATTTAAAATAGAGATTAATTATAGGTCACTAAAAAATTATTCTTCCTGTTTTATCAGTATTTATTTTACTCTCTCCGAGAACAGTTTAGGTACTTAATCTGTTTGATGCATACAATTTCTGTTTGATTAAGCATATTAATTTTGGCCACTTAAACTGCACTAATACTACTACATCAAAGTCATCACCAGAAAAAAAAAACATTTATAACATTTATTTGTACTAGCAGGATGCTACAACTTAGGCTTACAAAAAAACTAAAACCAAAAATAACAACAAAAAAAAACTAGTTAAAAAGAAATGTCATTAATTTCAAGGTTTTAAATAATTTCAAAATAGTACTGAGTGCTATGATTGCTCTTAATTTACCGCGATATTTTCATCTCACCTCTTGCAGCTCTCCAGAAACCTCATCTGAAAAAACAGCTAGGAATAAGTTATTGAACAGACAGAGCCTGTACATGAAAAATTGTCTCCTAACTTTTTACATGTGAGAAATGTAGAAGAATACAGATTTCCAAAACCTAGACTTTATAAAACAAACCAAGACAAACTCTCCAATATTATTTTGTGTGCTGACTTCTCAGCACAGTAGCTGTACTACTTTATATGCCTGTCTATTCATGTATTTAATTTCTAATCACGGCAACTAACAAAACTTTAATATATCATTTTAATAAATCATCTTTGTATTCAGAGATTTGCAGCAATTTAAAATATGATTTTAATTTAAAAAAGGATTCAATTTTCAAATGTAAACAAGATCAGAGAAGTTACCTATGTATTTACTATTGAAAAAGAGTAGCTATGAAATGGTTTCAAAGAGCTTCGAATTCTTTGTCTTCCTTAAATTTTTGTTTTCACAACGTATTCTTACATGCTTCCTTGTTTTACTGACATTATGGTTTCATGGATGAACATCCATTTAGGATGGAAAAAGGTAACACTGGCCAATTATTTTTGACTTTGTGCCCTCTCTCTCTCTCAGTCACAGTGCTGGACTGGGAAACCAATAATGACTGGAAGTAATACAGAAGGAAAAAAAAAAAAAAAGAAGTATTATCTCAATCCAGATCAAAGAACAGCTAAAAAAAATACACCAAAAGAGCACTTCTGTCCCTTTCAGAGAAGAAAGGCATTGGGAAACATTGGGTTGGAAGCCAATAGTGGCGGTAGGCACAACTGCCTCTTTTGGCTGATCATTAAGCAGTATTGTGACGTAAATCACATATTAACAATGTATGAACAAAGCATCCGTAAAAAGAATAAGATTGGCACAGGCAAAGCACAAGACTGAGGCAAAACAGTGTAAGGAAGCAGTAAAGTTTGCTTGTCAATTATAATTTTCCTTTTTCTTGACGCATGAAGTGTCTTTCCATTGCAACTGATTTAAGACTGAGCTTTATTTTCTCTCTCAAGTTTTTGAGTAACAAAAACCAGAATAGAGCAGAGTAATTCCTGTTGGAAGGGACCTTCATAGATCATTTAGTTCAATGTGCCATTCCAGGGCAGTTAACAAAAAGTTTTAAAAAATGGCCACTTCTTACTCCTCCTTCAAGAGAACTTTTTTAACTCTAAGTACAGCTAAAGAAAACCCCAAGACAGAATGAAACAAAACAAAATAGAAGCAGATGAATTTTCCTACTGCCTTTTCATTTTGAATAGCGTGGATATTTAACCTGTTTGAATATATTTTTCTGAAACTACCCATAAGGGAAGACAGAATCTATTAGATTTTTGCTTACAACAAATTTCAACTTCAGGGAAAAAATAAAAGTAGGTAGGAAACTAAAGTAAATATGGTCTCCAAAAAGCAAAGAGAAAGTAAGAAAGTAAGCTAATCTAATAAACCTTCCTTAGCTGCTACTTTCTCAAGAATTTTCTTCAAATGTCACAGCACAAAGAAATGTTTGGTAGGAAACTTCTGCTTTTAACTTCACTAAAAAAACACTACAGCTGTGTTAAGCTACAAAACCAGTCCTACAGAAGTTCCGTATCAGTAGGATATTAGTGATACAATACTCCAAAACAGGTTTTAAAAAGGTTATTTACGTAACTCTTGAAATTCAAAGGAACTTGTAGTTTATCTTAACCCTGAATAACTATCATCAATTAAATCCACTATCATGAATTAAGATAGTCTGCTTCTATGGACCTACCACAGCTATTTTTCAAGGTGAAAGTGATTCTGCAGCCCTGTTCACACCAATAATGTTTGTAATTCCATGTGTTCAGTACACTTAACACTACATAAAAAAAAGTCACACCTGGATATCTAAAAAAGCTCTAATTCACTGCAGAAGAATTTCATGTGGTGTATGAATTTTAGACATGCTTCCACATATGATACACATTATCTTGGATCAAATCTATACATTATGTCAGAAATCGCAGAGATCCGAAGCACAAAAGGAACATTTATTACTGACCAGAATTTTTAACTGATTCATACTAATTACTATATTTCTATCTTCAGTTAAAGCAGAAGTAACAGTTCCTTTCCACCAGTTCACTGTGGCTGTGATAATACTTACCAAGTCTTGAATAACTCCAAACAAAATATTTGAGCTGTTTAAGATAATCTGGAAGGGAAAGCAGTTCATAATAGCAGAATCATACACACATTTTATTACTTCTCATTATTGTAAGCATCCACAATATCATGTGTCAAACTATAAAACTCACAGATTATCTGTTAAAAATAAAGTTCCCAAAGCAAATACCAACCTGTACAATATCCAAAACCATGCCAGCTGAAACAGTTCCAAATCCTGCTAGCAAAAAAGGTACGAGTATCTGCAGTGCCATAATACTACTAGATTCCTTGGGTTGCTTTCTACTCCCCTCCACAATAATATCTTCATTACTGTCACTAGACAGATGGTCTTCCTGCAACATTGCATCTGTTTCTGAAGTGTCCATTCCATCACAGTAATTATAACTGGAAAAGTCATCATACTTAGGGCTACAGTTAGAAGGGCTGTGTCCATTACTACCATGAAAAGTTTGTTCTGAGAAGTGATGATATTCTGCGTGCTGCTCAGATTTAACATTATAATTATGTCCTGCTGATTGTAATCCATCTTGCCAAACACCATTCACTTTTTTGTGTCTTTCATCCTGGTTTATTTGGTAAACAACTGGAACCATACTCAAAAGCAGATTCAAAAATTTATCGGACTGAACTGTACTAAGACTTATGGTCCAGTTTACAAAACCTTCTCTGTCATGAACTTTGCTGTTTGTTTTGGTGATGATAGATCTGTCTTTACAGTTAGTCATAGTGCTACAGAAGTACAGGTTGGAAAAGCACTTTGTCCTTCAGATGTCAGTGAATAAATCTTGAAGATGAGTTATCAAGTGCCACACTTGATAATTCTAAAACAGATAAATTTAAATGATGCTTTCTTGAATGCAAAAAGTTTTTTTAATGGATCTCACATCTTCAACAACTCCATACACAAATCTGGATCTAAAAAAAAAAGAGAAAAAAAAAGAAAAAAAAGGTATATATTGTAATGGCATATTACATTTAATTAAAATTAAGAGGAAAAAAAGGAGTTAGGATAAATAAGATATTAAAAACCTGATTTTCATTCAAATTTGCATTTGGAGTAGGTTGTAAATATTTCCTGAAATATATAACGTTCTGATATCTAGTGACTACTAAACTATAATTATTTGATCAATATTAACACCAGTCATGGTGTTTGTTTTGCTTTCTGCAAGTCATACAAATACAATTATATCTTTTATATTTAACATGACTGCGCAATTATTTCTACTTTCCAACTTCTGTTATGGTCGAACATTAAACAATGATATATTGGTAGTCTCACGTCATTTGACATTTTCTCCATTAGTAGTCACTTTACCTTCCTCTTCTTTAGGTTTCATGTGATGATAATAGTTACAGTAATTTACTGTAAGTACAAAATTACTTGACTTGAAATTTTGTTGATCTGTTTTTATTACTGGATGCCATAAATACAAGAAAATCATTGGCACAACCAAAGAAACCAAAGTTGGTCAGACTACACCAAGACAGTGCTGAATGATGTAATTCCACAAGTTCAATACACTATATACAGAATCATAGAATCACCAAGGTTGAAAAAGACCTCAAAGAGCATCTCATGCGACTGTCCACTTACCACCAGTACCTCCCCACCAGGGACAGTGACTCCACCACCTCCCTGGGCATCTTGTTCCAGTGCCTGACCACCCTTCCAAAGAATAAATTTTTCCTAATATCCAACCTGAGCCTTCCCTGGTGCAACTCAAGGCCATTCCCTCCTATCCTATTGCTAGTCACGTGGGAGAAGAGGCAGACCCCTCCCACGTTGTGGATGCCCCATCTCTGGAGGCATTCAAGGCCAGGCTGGATGTGGCTCTGGGCAGCCTGGTCTGGTGGTTGGTGACCCTGCACATAGCAGGGGGGTTGAAACTAGGTGATCACTGTGGTCCTTTTCAACCCAGGCCATTCTATGGTGCTATGAAAAAAGCATAACGTAGTCATTGATAATCTCATTCAAAATATTTAAACAAACCTATACTCTTTTTCTTTTTTTTTTAAGTGCTAGTACACACAATAGCAATACTCTCACTAGTGGGGGAACAATAATATAGAAGTTCCTCAAATGCATATTCTTTGGACTATGGAATTCAGGAGCAAATACATCCACAAGCATTTTAAAGTACTCTATTCCTTCTGCAAAGTTACGTGTGAGGTCACTAAGAGCAGAGTCCAATTGCCTGCAAAGTTCTATGAATCTATGAAGGTCTCCCTTGTACTCCAGGCATGGCCTCACCAGAGCTGAGTACAGGGGGACAATTACCTCCCTGCTCCTCCCGGCTACCCTATTTCTGATACAAGCCAGGATGTCTTCTTAGCCACCTGGGCAATGCTGGCTCATGTTCAGCCAAGTGTCAACCAACACCCCCAGGTCCATTTCTTCCACACAGTCTTCTGGCCACTCTGCCCCAAACCCGTACCGTGTCCAGCCTTCTTGGACCCCTTTATCCTTCAGCATTGAATCTGTAGGGACCCTCCCTACCACTGTCCTGAACAGATCCAAATCCACTGTCTGGAAGTCCAAGGTAGCAGTTTTGTTGACCCCCCTCCTGGCTTCACTAAGAATAGAGAACTGCCATTTTGCAGTCACTCTGCCCAAGACAGCTCCTGACCTCCACACCTCCCGCCAGTCCTTCTCTGTGAACAGCAGGTCTAGTGGGGCACCTCCCCGGGCAGGCTCTTTTACCAGTCAGCAAGTTATCCTCCTGAAGACTCTAGAAACCTCCTAGACTGGTTGTTCTGCACTATGTTATATTTCCAGTATATATCAGGGAAGTTGAAGTCCCCCATGAGCATAAGACTGGTGTCTGCGCAACTTCTGCCAGCTGCTTGTAGAACACCTCGTCCATCTCTTCAGCCTGGTTAGGCGGTCTGTAACAGACCCCCACCAGGATGTCAGCCTTGTAGGCCCTCCAACATGCAAAGCTGGAAAGACTTTCATTTTTACAAACTGCAGGAAACAAAAATAGTTGAAGGTTGGAGGATTTTTCATCTCCTTGCCTATGAAGACGAGGCTCCTACATTCACGTTTATGTTATGATTCCTATACTTTCACTCCCTCCATTTCAATGTTTTTAAATAAGCTAATATTTTTCTATCCTATTAAATTTCACAGAGAATAGAGAGGTCAAAGCTATCAGCCTTACCGGAGATTTACATTTGTGCCCTTGCTGTAAGGCATCTTCAAACATAAGGATAATTCACCCACATATGGCCACAGCAAGTCAACTTCAGATCTGCTGCTTACAGAAGCATTTGGTTTGCTTTTCTGAGCGAAGACTCATATTTACCATGAAGACTTTCCCCCTACCAATTGCTTTATCCAAGACAGTTCTGATCAACAAAAGAACATTTTGAAAGCAACAAAGGAGTGTATTGCTTGATTTAGCAAAAGAAAAGTATTTTTTTCCACATGACCAACAAAGAAACCAAGATTCCTGAAATAACTTTTTGCTACCTGGTAGTAACTTGTGCTATGCTGAACCTTTTATTATAAGCATATAAAAACTCCTAGGCCTCAATTCTAGTTTCCACACACATCATTACGAGTAACAAAACAACCTCTGTTCTCTCCCAGAGGAGCTCTAACCACAGGCCAAAATGGTGCTGGGTTATGCGCTACAGAAAGGCAACAACAGGGAACAATTTTGTTTCTGCCCTGCACAAAGAAGGTTTTAGCTGTGTAAAAGAAAAGATATGGTGCATAAAGAAATACAAGCAGGTGTATCATTAAACTAGCAAACTATTACCAACTTCTGAGACAATAGCTTTACTGTAGAAGGATTAAAAGGAGTACAGGAGAAGAGCATTTCGTGGAAACTGGAAAATTAAGATGGCAGAAAGGCTCTGGCCCTGGACGCTGAAGTGGCCAACTGATTTATGAGGATGGAAAGTGGTACAGTAGCTATGATACATGCAAAGGGGAAATTCAGACCACTTCCAGCAGGTGAGTTTCAGTTGATCACAAGAAGCATCCAGATTAAAGAAACTTTATTTAATAATTCAAGAATAGTGTGCCAAACTAAGATGTGAAGTGTTCATGATAAAAGATGCTTACATCAAAGCAGTCTCATTAGAGGTCTTTTAGGGGTAGTGATACTTGTTTGCTTGTTAGTTTTTGAGGAGTGTTCACAAACAAAGGACTCTATTTGACTCCCAGGGAAATACACTGAGAAAATTTCCCAGTAGCTGTAAGATGGCAGAGTTTAGCTGTCACTGTGGTTTCTCCAGTGTCCTCCACTCACATCACTGGAGTGCTAGGCTGGTGATTCATGGAAATTATTCGTTGCTCAGGAACTCTGACTAGAAGTATTTGGGTTAATTATCCATATCTTTATACCATATGGGTTTCTCTCCTTGTAAGTTTATACTTTCTGTTTTTTCAAGAAATGAACTCCTTGGGGATATAGTGGTTTCACTGAATACAGCGTTAACAGTGTAGAAGTAGAACAGTGTAGAAGTGTTAACAAATAGAAATGGCATCTACCAGTGTGAAAAAGAGATAGAAAAATATTTCGAACAACTGTAAAAGCTTCAGAGACAGACTGGTACTTCAGAGACAGCTGAAACAAAACAGTACTGCAGCAGTTTAGAAGGCAGTCATTTAGATTTTTCCCACGAAACTGCCTGGAATGATAAAATGTGAGCTAACGGTGAATGCTGAAAAATGAGAACTTAAGAAGATAAAGTGAAAAATATACTACAGTACATAAACCTACAGTGAAAAGTAATTACATCTTCAGAGGATAAGTGTACAGTCCCTGAATTCAGCTATTCATTTCTAAAAACCTGCTCTTCCAAATGTCACCTGATGCAATAATTTCATTGTGAGTTCTAGATGCTAATATTGCTGTATTTACTTTTTGCTTGCAGCTACAGAAAGCAGCAAACCATCTATAGAACAATATGATCTTGAGGATCAGAAATCCCTGTGAAGCTTTATCATTGACATGAACAATTGCAATTTTATTGTGTTGTCTAGAAAAGATATAGCCAGGTAAAGAAGCAAGCACTACTAGAATAACTCATGTGAAATAAAGGAAGCAAAATGGTCAAAAACAAGTCCAAAACAGGAGGAGATAAGTGAGTCTGGTTTCCTGACATACAAGTAAGCTGAAGAGAAAGGAGAAGTATGAGAAAAAAAAACAACCAGAAACCAAGAGATAAAGATTCTTTGAGAAGCCATAAAATTGCCTCAAATTTATCATACTTGGCATGTTATAAGTGAAATGAAAGCAGACCCTGTCTTTTTCCCTACAAGGAAAATAATGAGCTATGCCCAGACAAAAACATTTTCTACTCTTTTTTCCTAAGCAGCTACATTTAACAATTTCCTCTTTTCATTCATTCACATATCAATTATTGTGCATTATTTACCTCTCTTTCTCAGTCCTGCAAATGCACACAAACAGAAATACAACCACACCCCACTGTTTGCTGAGGACATATTCCTGAAAAGCGAAACACTTAGCAGTTCAACATACAACAAAGCAATTTTCCCCATATAGAATTAATGCAATTGATGAGTACACCGATTTTAAAAATACCAACAGAGATTGAATGTATGACACAGAAAATGAACAGCAGAAGCAGATGGTATGGAAAATAGACAGGCCCATAAGTAGGAAGAGATGCTGACTTGTGGAAATCTCACACACTTCAGCCATGAAGCTGAACACTGGACCAGTATCACATTTTTCCATAATTCACCTTTGATTGACTTGATTGCTTTTGTTTCATCTGAGGAAGATAAAAGAAATGAAAATGTAATTGTTCGGAATGGAGTAGCAGGAACAGATTTCATCTTCTAAACATTGTTTCAGTCACAGTCTTGATTCAGTTCTCAAGAGTATGGGTAGGAGGTGCTTCTTCCACACATCCTCATGTGTATTTAAAGAATAAAAAGAGAGTCCAGAGGAGGGCCACAAAGATGATCAGAGGGCTGGAGCACCTCCCTTATGAAGACAGGCTGAGGGAGCTGGGCTTGTTCAGCTTGGAGAAAAGAAGGCTGCTGGGTGACCTAATGGCAGCCTTTCAGATCCTAAGGGAAGGCTATAAACAGGAGGGGAGTCAACTCTTTGAAAGAGTAGATAACAGCAGGACATGGGGAAATGGTTTTAAGTTGAGGAAGAGAAGATCTAGGTTGGATGTTAGGGGGAAGTTCTTTACAGAGAGAGTGGTGAGGTGCTGGCACAGGCTGCCAGAGAGGCTGTGGATGCCCCGTCCCTGGAGGTGTTCAAGGCCAGGTTGGATGGGGCCCTGGACAATCTAGTCTAGTATTAAATGGGGAGGTTGGTGGCCCTGTATGTGGCAGGGGGGGTTTGGCTTGATGATCCTGCAGGTTCTTTCCAACCCAAGCCATTTTGTGATTCTGTAATATCCATCACTGGAAGGATTAAAGGAGTGGACATCAGGGCTAAAAGTTTGACTGTACAGCAATTAGTCTGCTAGAGATTAATTTAAAGCATGAAAACAATAGCCATGCTTTTCTAAGTTCATTCAAAGAAAGCAGGAAGAAGAACAGTGAACAAAAAAAACACAAATAGTGTCAGCATTATGATGGGCTAAAACAAATATTTATTGAAGTCTAAGGCTGGGAAAATTATTTTTCTGATTGCTTTCAGAGTTTGGAAAAAAAAACAAAAGATAACACCTAGCTAAATAATACTGAGCTTCTGGATGTGGCCCAAAGCAACCTGTTGTAGTCAAGCCTACATTGAGCAAGGCTAGTGACAAGGCAACGTCCAGAGATCCCTTCCAATCTCAAGAATTCTCATATTCTGAAGTTTGGAAGGGGAATTTTGTAAATTTTGAATAAGATTTATGCAGATGAGACAGTATTCTGCACAGCCTCTTCTCCACTCTGTGTCCTGTGACGTGCAAGTTCACAGAATCAAGCTGATATCCTTATGACAGAGATGACTGTCACTGACACTGCTGTATCCTAGTGAACATTTCAGTAGAAAGTGAAAGCTACATCAGATCACCTGAACATATAGAGCAAGCAAACAGATTGTTTTATCATTAACCATTTTGTAGAACTCAGAACCAAGGATAGTGTGCTGTGCTATGATTATTTATACCAGATATTAAATGCTTGGTACAAAAAGATGGAAAACGTGCTGAAAAACAATAAATGTCACATGCATAGCAGCATTATGGGCAGTACGTACCACTTTAAATGTTATGCAGTATACTTTTTAACATGGTGTTTATTTTGTGGCAGTTGTAGGTTAAATCAACAGCAGAAGAAAGAAAAGAGAGAATAGCGTGAGGAAAAGAAAGAGAGGAAACAAGAAAGAGATGAAACAACCTCCAAATGCCTTTGTGAATTTAAGTAATACACCGAAAGAGCAGCCAGCCTCAGGCTCAATTTTCAGACAAGTTTTAGACTGCTGCATTTCACTTCCTGAACATGTCAGCTTTCGATTTTGGCCCCAAGGAAGGGAAAAGCAGCTGTCAGAAAAAAGACTTGGTTTGCCTCTGACCTTCAATTAAATTAAAAAAAAAAAAAAAAAAAAGGAGCAAAACAGAGCCAGAAATGAAGGAGCAGGCTGTGAAATGTGGTTACATTGCTACATCACCTCAATGGAATGCCAGCACAAAAACTACCTGCCAAAAGGTGGGAAAAGTCTGAAATAGAAGAGGTAACATGCTCCTCTAGATTATGTAACCAGTGGGTACTTAACAGGATGAGTCCTAACTGTACGACTTGGGATCTTGATTACAGGTTTCTAAGGGGGGCATGAACTGCTTATTAAGTCAGGCACTAGAATACAGATCTCACATTGTTTTTGGAGGATAATATCCCAAAGTATTTTAAAATGACATCCACCTTTTTTCTTTCTGAAACGTCTACCCACCATACTGTAGCCTTATGGCTCCAGGCTCAAAACTTCAATAAGGCAATATACGCGGGGAACAGTGCCAAAACAGGTCAGCCCGTCTAGTCCCATCTGTTATCTTCAGCATTACTGGTAAAGGGAGGATCTCACTTAAGGTCACATACAGAATCACACAGAATTGTAGGGGTTGGAAGAGACCTCTGGAGACCACCGTGCCCAACCCACAACTGTTAGGATGCCAATTAACAGCTGGTGGGGCTCTAAATACAAGAGACAGATGTATCACCTTATATTTTTCACATGTTATTACTTACAGTAAGACTAAGCAATAACATTTTATATGCAGCCTGGCTGATGTTCTGTGCTCCGCAACCTGAGATCAAACGGAAAGATTCCGACGACTGCATCCTGGACAGCACAGGGCGAGAGCACGGCAATATTTTACCGGAATTAAAGAAAGCGGTCACAGCTGCCACTCGAACTCAACCGGGGAAAGATTTCACGCTTTCGCGGTGCCACATTCTGGCGTATCCCACGGGGGTAAAGACGGGAGCACAAACGCACACCCGCCGAGGCGAGGCGCGCGCAGAACGGCGGGGCGCCGGGAAGGCTGGAGCCCGCCCGGAGCCGCGGGGATGGCAGCGGGCCGGACGCGCCTCTCCGCCGCCGGCGAGGAAAGTTTCCCGGCCCCCCGCCTCCCTCGGCTGCAGCTCGCCCGCCGCCCACGCCCGTCCTCCCCTCACGTTCCCCCCCGCTGCCCCTTTACCTGGGCGAGGGCGAGGCCGGCGGCGGCTCGCGGTCCCGCTCCATCGCGGCGGGCGGGAGGGGCCACCCGGCGGCGGTGACAGCTCCGGGCTAGGTGAGCAACGCCGCCACTGAGCAGGCGCGGAAGGGGCCGGAGAGAGAGGGCGGGCGGCCCCCGCGATGATGTGGCCGTGATGCGCCGCCGCCGCCGCCGTCGCCGGCCGCTCCGATCCGACGGCGGGCGGGGAAGAGCCGAGCAGCAGCCGCCGCCCCGCGCCGCTGAGAGGCGCTGATGGGATGGCGAGAGGGCGGCCGCACCCCGCAAGGGGGGAACAAAGAGGCGGGGGCTCTCCCTCGGCCCTCCGGCGCTCATCTGCCTGAATCCGCAGGTGGCGGCCGGGGAGTTGTGCGAGGAGCTGAGCGCCGGCGCGTTGGGAATGGCGATGGCGATGCGGGACTGTCCCAGGCGGGTCTCACGAATGCTCGCACGGGAACAGAGAGAACACCACGTGTGTGTTTGACCTATTGAGCCAATATGAGGCCGAAGGGCACAGTTTGCCGGGGCACATCATTAGCGGAGATGAGACGTGGTGCACCGCGGAGGTGAGGGGAAGCAAAGGGAACCTTCCCGCCGCCCACGGCCGCCAGCAGTCGGCACCCGCCGAACCTCCCGGAGGAAGCGGTCATCCCGACCTGCAGGGGGAGCTGCGCCGCGGTGGGCGGGGAAGGGAGAACCCCACTTCCGGCCTGCGGGGCGCATGGCGGGGCTCGGGCAGGCGGCGGAGCCGGCGGCCTCTCAAGAGCTGCTGGCCGCGGGGCGCCGCGGAGGTGAGGGGCCGAGAGGTCGGTGTGCGGGGCTCCTTCGGGAGCGAGAGCTGCGGGAAGGTCGCAGTGCTTGTTAAATGAATCCTCATCTGTTTAGGGCTGGCATAGAAGGGTAGAGAAGGAGCAGCAGGAGGAAAGCCTCACAGTTAAAAACGTGGAGTTTGTGGTTGGTGCAGGTAAATGTGTAAATACCTGTTTGTTTCTAGGTTTGGAAGAAACGTTACTGATTAGTTCAAAGCCTGGCCGCAAGAAGGCTACGACTTTACAGACTGTAAGGGTGCCAAGGAGTAATGGTAAGAGTAACGCTGTTACTAGAGCAGTGGCAGCAACTAAGTAGTTTATTTAACATAGCTGAATATCTAACGCTTGAACAATTTTAAGGTATTTTTGCTTCCGTGAATCATCAAATGTTTGCTTTGGTAAAGGGGGAGACTCATTCCATTTCTATTTGCTTTGGGTTCTTAGACAAATTACGCATAGACATCTAGCGTTCTCTTTGGTGTGTTTCTACATGTAATGAAAAACTGAGATTCTTTAGAAATTATGTGATCTTTGAGAATTTTTCTCTTCGTGAAAATAGACCGGCGCTCTTTAGGCTCGGACTTTTGTTTCCAGTATAATCAGCCTTGCTGCTTTTTGTTGAGCTTCTTGTATCTCTCAGATGTAATTTCTCAGTGTGAAATATTTGCTGCTGTGGTTGACAATTGGGAATCAGAGTTGAAATTGAATCTGTTTAGATGCTCAGATTTCTGAGGTATAAAACTATAAATAAATGTGTCTGTGTGTATGTATATATATATACAGGTGGTAATTATTTCTGTTTCAGTTTTGGACAGAGTACAGAGCTTTTTACCACAGATGGCTCATGCAAATGATGAGCTAAAAAGAAAAATGGTCACAGCACCAGCTCATCAGTTTGATATTGAACATCTCGACAGCGCCACTGAGAAAGTTATAGAAATGGTAAATAACACGTTCTTGGTTCTACAAACTGCATTTTGGTATGATTAAAATAATCCTCTGATCTTACACTAAGCTAGCTTGATAAATAAGGTGGGATCTTTGCCATTTTATTCTGTGACCTGCAAATTCATAATAAAAGTAGTAAAACCTTTTGGGGTTGAAATTTACTGCTTGGTTTTAATACTTGCTGAATATAATGGCTAGGGATGAAGTAGATTATGGTCAGAATAAGGTATTTTATCTTTGAATTGTAAACTCTGAACTGAAAGTAAGTTGCTCATTCTATTTTAAATGTAGGAGATTTGATTTCAAAATTGGACGTTGTTCCTAGTAAAGCATAATAGAAGGCTTTAATATAATAAGAGCTTTGGGTTGAAAAATGTTGTTAGTGTTATGATCTTTTACAGCTAATATTTACAGTCACAGCAATATTTTCATTCTGCTTTTAGCTGAAATTATAAGTCCACGTGCTCATGTAGGAAAATTTCATTCTGAAAGCGATGTGATATATGTGTGTTCCAGACAAGTGTCTTCTGGTCTGCAAAACCACAAGAAATAAGGCAGAAATGGGGCAGCCAGATAGTTTGGTCTGCGAGCTCTCAGAGCAACTGCTTGGATGCTGGTTAGATCATAGAATCATAGAATGGCCTGGGTTGAAAAGGACCACAATGATCACCTAGTTTCAGCCCCCCTGCTATGTGCAGGGTCGCCAACCAGCAGACCAGGCTGCCCAGAGCCACATCCAGCCTGGCCTTGAATGCCTCCAGGGATGGGGCATCCACAGCCTCCTTGGGCAGCCTGTTCCAGTGCCTCACCAATCTCTGTGTGAAAAACTTCCTCCTAATATCCAGTCTAAACCTCCCCTGTCTCAGTTTAAAACCATTCCCCCTTCTTGTAGACTATACTCAATCTACGTGCAATAAGTTGTCACAAAACAAAATGGATTCTAAAAATTGTTTGTTGTAACGTGCTGATGTGGAACGAGTTGGATTTTCAAAAGATTTTTCATGTGGTAGTGTCTGACAGTTCTTGGCTTTACAATAAACAAGTCAGGAGATAATAGCATCGTGTTATTTGCAGATCATGGAATACGTTTATTTGTGTAACGTTTATTTTTGTGTTTTGTATATTTTATATTATAAATATTTTGTATAAATACGCATTTGTGTATTTTTTGTGTAAATTTTGCCTTGCAGCATGCAGGAAGTTTTTGAGGTGAGGATCAGCAGTTTAAGACAGATGTTTTCAGAGAGGAAAACAACCCTCAGAAATAACAGCTCTAGTTAAGAAAATATATGATCACTTTTGATTCACAAAGTGTGATTTAGACTACTTTGCAGTAGTTGTAGCAGCATTAATAATACCAGATGATATGAGTAACATTCATAAATGTATGCACTTATATATATACACATACGTATAACGTGACGTCTTCATACTCTAAGTGGTTTAAGTTCTTTATTGGATGCCTTCTGCTCATTACTTTAGATTTTGACTGAGTTCATCTATTTCCTTTCTCTCTTTTATGAGGATATAAAAATGCCCTTGTATTTGCTTTGGGTGATAAAAGGTACAATTTAAATACTTGGGAATCTGTTTATGATATTTGCCTTAGTCATATTAGAACCCAAAAGTCTGACTGTGGTTTTCATACAGTAGTAGAGCTGATTTGTTTGCTTTGTGTTTTAATCAAATTATGGAAGAGTACAGAAACGTATCATGTGTTAACTAAGATCTTTTCTTTCAGAACGTGGCTGTAGTTGAACTGAGTGATTCTGATACAGATGAAGAGAACCTAACTTCAGAAGATGACTCAGAATCTGAAGATGACTGTATAACTGATGAAGTGACAATAGATAACATTAAGTTTCCTAAACCAAAGGGAGAAAAGGGCAAAATAGAAATTTTGGACAGCAAAGTGAATGAGTGAATCAATTTTTATTATACTTTAAAAAAAAAAAAAAAGTATTCAAGCAAACCATGTTTTCTTACTTTGAAGACTTAGCCTTTAAATGACATTGTTTCTCCATGTGAGATTCCCCAGGATCCTGTGAAATGCTATTGTTTACTTGGTGGAGAATTCAGGATCCACTCATGGCTCTGAAGCAAGCCACATCTCTGAAGAATTAATTAATGTCTTATTCATCAAACAACGTGAAAATTCCAAGCTTTCTTGTGAAGTTAGACTAAGAAAGCAGCTACAAGCTGGAATGTTTGAACAGAAAGGCATACTGCAGAGCTAGTTGAGAAAATTCTTGTTCTCGTTTTGTTGAAGAAAGATTTTTGTAGTGGCTTAGAATAAAGCTTGACTTCGAGGGCAGGAAAGAAATGACAAGGAAAAATCTGTTCTTTATTATGTCCTGTAAAGTGTTAGTGTACAATGTCTTCAATATTAAATGTTACCTTAAAGTACACTAGAAGTTGTTTGTATGTTGCCATCATCACAGTAACTGCTGAATACCAAAGCAACAGCTGAGGCTGTTTCAAGATGAGGTAGCATATGTAAGGATAACATTTTAATAAGCCATGACTTGAAAGAGTTTAACAAAGAATTACTTAGCTTCTGGGCTTGCGCTGAGTTAGGGGTAGGTTGCTGCTATTCCCTGAGCTAGCTCCTATCTGCAGTGTTTGGGTAAATACCTGTGGTACTCAGGTCAAGTCCACCTCTGTGGTGTTACAGATGCACTAAGCCACGCTACTCATCTACTGCTTTATCACATTTCTGCTCTCCATTTTCTTAGTTGTCACTACCAGAAGAATCAAAAAGTTTATTTTCAGTTGGCCTCTCCTCAGGCTAGCTTGAAATCGTGAAACCACAATCAGTGAAAATATGTCTCATTTGTACTTACCTCAGATTGGTGAAATACAGTGATTTGGGCTGCTGTATTTACTTTACAGATCGTTTCGTGTTTCAAAAGTCTCTGTGATGCTCCTGTGTATCACACGTTGTTTCTTGAAGTACTATTTTCTATTTGCTATATCATTCATATTTTCTTTATTGTATTTGCTCAGATATTAAACTTAAAAAATAATGAATTGAAACCTGCAGTTACATACACAACTTGTTTCAAATCCAGTACTTAATTCTGAAGTTTTCTTTTTAAGACCTGTTTCAATAGTGTTTGTGATAAGAAATTACAAGGATTCTTTTTTTTTTTTCCCTCTCAGTATAGCTTCTTAAAAATGGAAGAGGGGTACAATTTATTGAAATCAGCTGATTAAGTCCCAGAATATTTTAGGAAAGAGGAAGAATAGGAGTCAGGAAGTGGGTCTGCTCTTTCTAATGGCAGTCCAGAGATCAGATTAAGTTTTAGGTGGAGGAACAATGTAAGAAGAGCAAGCAGCATTAAGTACAGTCTGTTTGTTGGGTAAGGTCTTGATCTGTATGGAAAACTTCAAACTGAAGAAAATTTGAAAGCCAAAGTCTTAACTCAGTCATTTTACAAGAGATTTTCGCATAGATTTAAGAAGGAAAGACATTTGAAGTACAAAGTAATAGTCATGCCATATAGAACTGATAAGAGTCCGTTTGCACCAAGTGATTTTAATCTTTTAATGTAGCCATTTTTGAGATTGCAGGCTGATCACATGTTCCATTTCAACAAAAAGATAGAAAATATTTTCAGTAACTTTAGCTTGGTATGCATAGTTAACATGGATGTTGAACTCTGTATGTACTATACAAAGATCATAGTAAGTGCACTTCCTTGCATTGATGTACTTCTTATGGCACAAAGGTTTTCTGTACTGCTGACGAATCACCAGAGCAGAATGTTAAGTTGCTACTGTAAAATCTGAACCAGTTAATAGCAAAAATGATATAATATGCATATTTTAGTTCAATTTTAGAAGAAACCTAAGAACTAAGTTTAAAATGTTCTTGTAAATGTGATCACACAAATAAGAAGTAGGCATGTGAGAACTTTCTATTCAGCTGTATTTTTTTAAAAATAAGCCAAACTACTTTTTTATTTTTGGCTTGTGCTAATTACTGCTACTGTTGCTGGATCATTTATATGGTGTCAGGCTAATTCCCAAATGCTTCTGTCTTTCTGTGAGACTAAAATTTGGACCTGATTTAAAGAAATTATCTATGGAATGAGTGTATTTGTTTTTTAGTTGCAGCACTGCAGATGGCATATCCCAGGCATGGTATTAAGTGGAGCCTTTAAGATTAGAACTGCCAAAAGTTTACTTTCCAAGTGAGGCTGTTAATATTCCACAGTGACAGCCTTCGTTCTAAGATATTCATGAAGAGCTTCTTCACCTGTACAAGCAAATATTAACCAGTTAGAATAATGGCTAAAGGAGAGAAAGCTGTCAGGGAAGGTAACTGTATCATTAAAATAAATTCGTAATGTTTTAGCCAACATTTGAGTCCTTGAGACACGATGAGAAACTAATGCATTTACTCTCCCTTTAAGATTTACAGGACTGGTTTAACAAGAAGAGGCCAAACCCAACAAGTATGGAAAGAAAATGCAGCTGAATTTTAACAAGCTGCCACCTGAGGGGAGTACTGAAGCAGCAGCAATCTCTAGGGTGGCAACTTGTGTGGAGGAGCTTGGAGCTGAATTTAAGAATTGGTTTGCCTATGTTAAGTGTCCGGGTTAAAAAAAAATTACATTACAAAATTACATTACATAGGGATTTTTTCCCTATTAATAATGTTGATGAGGGGGGAAAAAAAAGGAGGGCTAATACTTGCTAGGGATTCCAAGGGCAAAAATTTGTTGTATTACTCTTTGCCATGAGGCTTGATCTGTCCAGTCTTGTAATAAAATGAACAATACTGGAGATACTGAAGTGGGACTTGTAAGGACAGGAGAAGAATTAGATCACTTAGCTGGAGGAATGTGGGAGATGCAGGAAATACATCTGTAGATTTCAGGTAATGCTATTTTTTCATTGACTTGGATTGTCAGATGAGAAATGAGGGGAGAGAACAACTTACCTAAATCTTTTCCAAACCCAGACTGTTTAAATCCACCAAATGGTGCTGCCACATCAGTTTTGTTGTACGTATTGATAAAAACTGTTCCAGCTTCCAGCTTTTCACTGATATAGAGAGCTTTGCTTATGTCCTTTGTGAAAACTCCGGAGGCCAAACCATATTCTGTGGTGTTTGCCCGTTGCAGCACTCCGTCGATATCCCTGGAGGAGAAAAGATTGATTTAATTGCTAGGAGGTAAAACAAGTATGTGCTAGCAAGCTTTGATCCTCAGTTTGATAGAAACATCTTTTGCCATGCTCCTTCTCTTAGCTGTTACAAAGACACAGCTTGGTAAGGACTACTCTCTGTGTCAGTCTGTCTCAGTTATGGAAATTCATACACTTGCTTCAAGCTTGTAAAGCATGTGTTTGCATTTCGGTGTTTAAGATCTACACTAGGAAATGTCAAAAGAAAGCTGCATTATGCACACTTATCTTCACTCAACTACACTGTACATCTCAGGGATCAGAAGAATACAATGACTTGTAAAGCAGAACTTGGCAGCACGTCATGAGTCAGTTTGCTAAAGTCTGTCAGTTAATGGAGTAAATGCTGGACCTCAGCTGTCCATTTCAAGCAGTCTTTTCAAGCAATGTTCAAATTGCTATTTCTATCCAATCTCAATTAATTTTAAAAATCCATATGTTAAAGCTTCAAAAACTTATTACAATCCCGAATCTCCACACATAATTTGTAGATGTAAAGGGGTATCTGTGTGGCCAGTTCCCAACTTCACTTTCATGCTGCAGAAAAAAGAAACCTGGTGGAAACAGCTGTATGAAATTTCTACATAAGGCTGTTATATTATCTGCTTGTAAAATAATTCCTATGATGTAAAATGAAAGCTACTAAAACTGGCACTCCACAAAATATACAGGGGCATTTTCATTTACAGGAGCAATGTGCCAGCCTTAGACAATGCATACACACTATGAGGTCCTTTTTGTCCACTGGAAAAAAATGCACCTTTAGCAATTTGATCCAACCTCTGCGTTTGTATCAATTTGAGTAAAAATCTTTCATTGAAAATTGAGTCTTATTTAAGAAATGGTGCTTGGTGCTCCCTCCTACTCCCTTGCACACTTGTAACAGCATTTATTCTATACTGACATGGAGAAGGACACTCATACTAGAAAACCTCTGAATTTAGCAGAAAGAGAACCTGAGTTTCAGCTAGATCTTAGAAGATTAAAAGAACCATTCAATGTATTTTAACACACGGTGAAAATAAGAAGAATGTACCCATTTTTAAATTTGGAAATGACCATCACTGGACCAAAGGATTCTTCCTGGGCAATGTACATATGGTCTTCAACATCTGTGAATACAGTGGGTTCCATGAAGAAACCTAAATAAAGGATAAAACAGCATCTAAGTGAAGACAAAATGCTTTGTTGTTTGTATTGTCCAGGCTATCTGTACTTAATGTCACAGATACATTGAGGCTTGAAACAGAAAATACCAAGATCAATAAGAATAAATAGTGAATGTTGATGCATATGTATAACAGCAGAAAGAAGGCTAAAAGAATGGCCTTTCTTGATGAGAGCAGTTAACATGTGGGTCATGTTCAGAGAAGGCCTGCATGCACAAGGCCAGGCTGCTCCTCAGGGACAGATCCTGCATTCTGGTAGCAGGAAGGCAGCATTACAGAATGTCAGAGAGACCACTGCTTCTCTTGTTACCTGACAAGAAGATAGCCATACATATCCGTATCTTCCAAAAACAAGAAAAAAATATGCAACGGGCAGCAACTTTGCCTATGGTTTATTGAGGTTTATCTGAAACAAAAGCTCACCTTTTAACTACTGTTCCTTTCTAAGCAGTATAAAAGACCCGTCTATAAACTAGTTCACATTGTTGTCAATCAAGAACTGTTACAGTGTTAGATATAAGTGATTTTGGGTATCTCCATCTACAAGAGTGAGTACATTTCAGTGAGAGTGGATAAAGCCAGCTTCCAGTGTTTTGTATAATCACCTTTTCCTTCCTATTTTGTTACACTGACTTCTTACAGCTACAAATCTGCATTTTCATTTTCTTTGTGGATGCAGTCATATGTTTTAAAATTCTCATGCAAATGTTTCTTCTCCATTACTAATAAAGGACTGATCATCATGACAAAATGTTGCTTTTATGCCTTCCTGTTAAACTCTTCATATAACAAAGTCTTCATATAACAAAACAGGCTTTTGATAATAATATCTAATGCAGACTCTTTCCACACAGCTTAAGTATTCTACTCATCAAAGTGGATGATTACAGTTACAGCTCTTGACAATTCAAGGTTGTTGCAAAAAGGCCTCCATGCCTCATAAACAGTACAAGTAAATGAGTGCAAGATAGTGCTACAGATGGGAATCTTGACTCATTTTGATATATTATATTTCAGTTGCACAGCATTTTTTAATATGTGACTTGAATACTCTGTCCTCAGGTGTTTTCTTGGGTTTGCCTTGTACTCTTTCCATGATGTTGCTGTTTTCTAACTCCTAACACCTTTGACCAGCATCTTACCTGGTCTACATACTTGTCTTCCTCCATACACTAGAGTGGCTCCTTCCTTCACTCCAGTTTCACAATAGTTGAGCAGCTTTTCCAGATGGGCTTTGTGATTCTGTGGGCCATGATCTGTTGATCTATCAAGTGGGTCACCGATTTTCATCTTTTTTATTTCTTCCACCTATGGGTTACCCAAGCAAAACGAAGTTACATAACAAGTAGTTGTTAAAATGACCAGTGATTCAGCATGCTTTGTTACTAGTGTTGCGAAGCTTGGCTCAAAAAAGGGATACAATCTTAGAAGGTGAATGCTCTTCCCCTTCTAAAATGAGGCTGTTTATATGGTCTTGTTTGGTAAGTTCCGGTTACTCCTTAAAGTTTTTGATGCAGTTTGCATGTAATAATTCTCTTATGCTATTATGAAAGCAGGTGAAATGTTAGCTTTTACCAGGAGTAAGTGAGTTACCACAATAATTTCCTGGGCTAAGCTAGATATGTGAATTGTCCAGCAGCTCACTGAGGTAACTATTGGATTTTTATGACCAGCTACTCTTCCAATATGCCTTTTCAAAATTTCATAGCAGTCTTCAGTCACAGTGACTGAAGTTCAAGTCATTGTTTTCATTTTACTTTCCTAGTGCAATATGAAGTATCACTGAAGAAGCATTATCTACTTCAATGTCACTTATCTGCATTATTGATGAAAATATTTGCCTTCAGTGTCTTTCTTTAGACATTGTAGGACATTCACAAGTAGAACAGTCTATGGTAAGCAATAACAAAAATAAAAAGAAAAGCACTTGTCATAGCAGCTTTGTGCCATAGTAATGTCTGCTTAAACTTTAGTTTTCAACTATCTTACCACTTTTCTAACAAATTCGTCATGTATTGACTCCTCCACAAACAGCCTGCCAGCAGCAATGCAGTTTTCTCCTTTGTTGAAATATACTGCTCCCATACCCTGATTGGGGAAATAAAAAACATTTATATTTATATTTTCATAGGCATCCTTCTGTTTCATTTGCTGACTGCAAAGTTTCAGCTTTCACTTTCCATACATGAGTGAAGACATTCAGACTCTTGTCCTGCCAACAAAAGTTCAAAAAAATATGGGAAGCTTTCCCTCTGCTTTTGTTGGTTCAGAGAACTAATGGAATTAGCACTTCTTGTAAGCACAGTGTGGGAGATCTTTATTTGCTTCTTAGTGAGTGAACTGTTTCTGCTGTCATTTTGATCACCTGAGCAGGAAATAAGCTTAAATCTACCATATTTCTAATTTTCACACTTTAGTCATGTACTTAAACACCTTATGGCTAGTTGGGAAGGTGGATTATGTGATTGATGGTGAATTAATAGGCACTGTATGACAACAGGGAGTATACAGTATATTTTAGCTCATTTTCAGGCTTTTCTTTTTAAAGCTTGTTTTTCTTGGCTAATAGATTTTGACAGAAATCACTTCTAATATGTTAACTTGGCTGATGTAAATTCTTCCTTGTCATATTCTCTAATGTATCCCTATCTTTTTGGTGCTGCACAAATAAGTTAATTATGCCGACACAAAGAAATATCCTACAGAAAATGAGTCTGTTTTCTAACAGATTTCATGAATCTTCATGCAAGGGCTTCCTGCTGCAGTTTTTGACAAGTCCAGAAGAGTACTGCAATACTGTGAGCATGTAACATCAAGGCTTCAAATATATTTTACTTCAAACTAGTTACCATTTTTACAGCTTTGTCAAGTTCACAGTCATTGAATATGATCAGTGGTGATTTACCGCCAAGTTCAAGAGAAACCTTCTTCAGATTAGTGGCTGCACTGGAAAAAAAAAGAAAAAAAGAACAAAAAACCTTTTAAACAGCTCAATTCATTTCCTTTCAATCATATCTAGTGAAAATGTACAGTATAAGCCTCTACTTTTCAACAGTGACTTAGCAGAATTTGAGATAAATGTAAACAAGCATATGTAGGTATGCTTTTCTACTATGGCTACATGAAAGATATTGCTAATAAGGTGCTTAAGAACTGGATTAAGCAGCATTTATTCATGAATCTTATGCTAAAAGTACCTCTTCATGATCTCTTTACCAGTTGGTGTGGATCCAGTGAAGCCAACTTTGCGAACATCTGGATGTTTAGATAAGTGCTGTCCCACTAAGCCACCTGGGATGAGGAAAACACCTTAACTGGACAGTACAAATATGATTTTTACTACCCCAGCAACAGCACTGTATACAGAGAGACCTATGGAAACCCAATAAAATATTACATTCTGGTTGATATTTACAGCTTTATTCATAGGACTACAAAAATCTCATATTAGTTAACTTAAATCACATTGATGGGTCCAAATTCTCCCATCTTTCTCTTGTCAAGATTTTTTTTCCTAATATTCCACTTCAGGTGCAATAGTATAATTTGTAACAGAGTCTGCTCCATACAGTTGCTCTGTCATCTCACTTTTTCAGGGGAAAGATGAAAATGATGACCTAAGGTTATGTGGTATGAAGAACAGCTAGTTTATAGTGACCACGAAATATCTGATAGCTTGCTCTAGGCCTCACAGTCACATTTAAATACTTCCAAGTGATTATAAAATTAGGAGAAAAAAATGAAGTCTTATAGGCAAGTGCAATTTGTTTCTCTGTAACGCATTCTCTTTTTCAGAGTTTTCATGCTGTTTGTATGAGCTTGGAAAAGGTGAGGGCTGACAGCTCTTACCATGAGGTAGAGTCATGTGACATACAGAAATTTCCAATTCTGTTCAGGAAAATATGTCAAATTGCTGCATGTCATGGATGCAAGACTACTATCAACAAAAATAATGAACTTATGTAACAGGTCTTCGAAGGTAAAATAATAGTACATCAGCTTTAGTATGACCTGTTCTTCATAGAAAAATGATTTCATAGCACTACAGAATCACTCAGGTTAGAAAAGACCTTAAAGATCATTGAGTCCAACCACAACCTAACCATACTACTCTAACTCTAACAGCTCTCCGCTAAATCACGTCCCTCAGCACCATATGCAAACAGTTTTTAAACACATCCAGGGATGGTGACTCAACCATCTCCCTGGGAGCCTATTCCAGTGCTTAACAACCCTTTCTATAAAGAAGTGTTAAAGATTTGTTAAAGATTTACCTGAACCAGGCAGTATATTTATAACACCCTTAGGAAATCCAGCTTTAGCTGAGAGTTCTGCAAACTTCAAGGCAGTCAGAGGTGTAACCTAAGTAGAAACACTTAGGTTAGGTCTCCTGTTTTAATGAAATGCATAGTAATTACTCTTACACTCAATAGTTCTTCACTTTGATACAATATGCGTCTTCTTCCTCACAGTACTGACAAATCAAAAATGGCATTTTCTTGCAGAAAATAATTCATTCTTGAAAATGAAAGTACCATTAGAGCAGAATTTAAAATAATCAGTACCTGGCATGAGCACAGTAATTTATATAATTATACCTCCACTTTAAAATATATGAACAGGTCAAGCTATGGATGAAATCTGCTAGATGTATGAACTGTTCTGTCTGAACAAAATACTGGAGGGCCAGAGCCACTTGAGCATTCCTTTTACTTCTTACCTGAGCTGTCTTGAGAACCAGTGTGTTGCCTGCAGCCAAGCATGCTGCACTCTTCCATGCAAGCATCATCAGTGGGTAATTCCAAGGGATAACAATGGCACAGACACTTAAGATTCAAAACAAACAAACAAACAAACAAACCAGAAAATCAGGCAAAAATTGTAGTTTTGAATGCAGCCTTATAATGATTTTTCTATATGCCCAGGCTGTCACTAAGAAGGAAAAAAAAAAGATAATTACCCTATTGGCTCTTTCTTGGTGAATGTTAGATTATGGTTTGGCCGGGCCTGGTTAATTGGAATTGTAGCACCCTGAAAAAAAAAGACAGATTAATACTGGTACCATTTAACCATTTATTTTTTGTACAGATACAATTGCCATTTAAGTATATTTTAGAAAGCCACAGAATAGTCTTTAAAACCAGAAGCATTTATTCAATTTATGCATCATGGAAAGAGGGAGATGTTTACACTATAACATTTCCTGCTAAGAGTCCAGTAACCACCTCCCCATTTTCAGCTGGGTGACATAAAAGCATAGATAATAAAACTATGGAAGAGCATAGGGTGAGGAATGAACAGAGGAAAGAAAGCTGAATGATATTCTTGGTTGTGCACCTTAAAGATACTTCAGGACATGTTGTTGAACTTGTGCCACTTGCTGTGGTACCAAACAAGCACGCCAGCCTTGCTCAGAACATAATATATAGCATGACTGTAACACAGTGATTCTGCTCCAGGAATATTCAAGAACTGACTAAGCATACCTACCCAACGACATCTCAATTAATTTATTAGGTATTTGGAGTCAGACTCTTATTCTCAAATTGAAAGTAGACTGTGCTTTTTGTATTGTCTGGAAGACTCACTTTAGGTAAAATTCTAATTTTAGTTTATTTTTTGAATTTTTTGGTTGATTTTGTCAATACTATTTTTTGACACTGTATCAGCAAAAAAAAAAAAGAAATGTGTAAAGAAACATCACCATCAATTGCTTTCTTTACACTTTCACTTGCCTGAATTTTGTCACACCATCCAGCAAAGTATCTGAAAGTTTGTACAGACATTCCAATGTGGGTCTTCAAAGCTAAAGTGTAGACAGCTCCTGAATCAATAGACTCTATAGTTGCTAATTCTTCTTGATGTTCTTCCATTAGGTCTGCAAGCCTGTAATCAAACCATTACAAATGCATGTCAAAGAGAAGTGAACTCTAACCATTGAGATTGTAAAATTGTGTTTTGTATGGCAAAGACCTGTAGCTAAAATAGCATGGAATACTGATATAGTGTTAGATGCTTCAAAGGCATACTGACGTTCAAAGACACAGATCCTAACATAGTGCAGATTGAATTTTATATGCTTCAGCATGTTTAAGAATCTGGGCTAGTCTCTTTTTAGGCCTCAAGTTCTCTGTCTGTTAGGTTTGTCAAGCACATCAGTGAGATAACAGACTGTCAAAGTGTTTGTGATAAAAATTGTTAACAGTAACTACAGGAGTGTCTCATTGCTGCCCCCTGCTCAGCAGAAAGGCATGTTTGCATGAACGGATTTTTACAACCGTGTCTTAAGTCTCTTATGTAGAAACAAAACATGCATCAAGGTTTTTCTTAAGCTTCTGTCTGTGTTTTGTTACTCAAATGTATAATCAATGCTCTCGTGTGATTTTAAGAGGTTAGTTAGGTGCATTTTAGATTCCATAAAGAGTATTTAAAACTGGATTTGGAAACTATTTTTTCTACTACATCAATTCTGCTAATTAAAAAAATTTGTAGAAATGTGGAAAAATGCTCTTCAGTACCTGTTTTAACTGCATCCAGCAGTTAATGGCTAGGGCATCAGCATTAGTGTACAAAAGGATAAATATGGCATGTCAAGTACAAAGGAGAAAGTTCCACTTAGTGCATGCCTAATATCCTCTATTAATGACTCCTTAAGACAAAGTAGCAGAGGTAGGTGTTTAACAGTACAAACTTCTCCATTTTGGCACTCAAAAGGTCTAGTCTGAACAGAGGCCAGAGGAAAAATGGCCCTTATTTGAATAAGGTGGACACTGGAGTATGAATATCCAACATATTCAGAAAATATGTAACAGATCTTCAGAGGAGCTAAACAATATGATTTAAAAACAAAACCAAACCAAACCCACACATGCTGCTCTTTACATACTTGTACATGAGTCGCCCTCTTTCCCTTGCATTCATTCTTCCCCATTCGCCATTTTCAAATGCCTCTTTTGCTGCTGCCACTGCTCTGTCAACGTCAGCCACAGAAGCAGAAGATACACTGGCAATCACCTGTCACCAGGTAGAAATGCCTCAGCTCAGACAGAATGGCTGGATGCAGAGTGTTACTCTTAACTGGGTATAAGCAGATCATTGATATAATAACATAGCAAATAATATCATTGAGCCAATCAGCTGCAATGGGTGAGACATGCTGCAAGAAGTTGAGACACAGCTGATGGAGGCAGAACTTGGAAGACAATGTAGGAACTCCTTTCTCACAGCAAGGCACATCATCCCACTGGAAGTCACCTTTTCTTTCTATATGTAAGATCAGCAGGTATTACAGGTCTTGAAGGTCTATGGTCTTATATCCAAATGTGGTAAAACGAGTCCTGAACATTTCATTTCTAAGAAGCTGAGTTTCTGTTACCATGACTTATATGTAGTATTTTATGACGATTGTGTTCTATACCAACATACAATGTAAACCCTAAAACAGAATTGCTATGACTTTTATTCCATTCCAGAATGAGGTACAGAGAAGTGCCACTTTCTGGCTTCTGATGACAGTGAAATTTGTGCTATTGATTTTAGTAGAATTCAGTTACTCCAGAAATAATATATGGGCATCAGAATGACTTATATTAATAATTCTGAGTTGCTCAACCAAGATTTAGTGCTTTTGAGAGGAAAAAGTGGAACTGTATTTTCCTGTTCAAAAGTCATTTTTCTAACTGGGAATTTAATGAGATATTTTAAAGTCACTTTTACCCTAAGACAGATTTGTAGTAAATTAAAAGCTGAAGTTAATGACTGACAGAAAATATATACAATATTGTAAAAGAAATACCTCTTTAGCAACTAAACATTAGCAATTTTTGTTGTGAAGATAAACAGGAATGAAAACAAGGTAAAACACACAGCTGTATGGAGATTAAGATGCTAGCTGAAGTAGAATTGGGTTATTTTTAAAGCACAACTTGACAGAAATGCAAAAAATGTAGAATATATAAATTGAGAACTAAATTTAAATTTAAAATTACTTTGGGAAGTTGTTTAATGTATGATTTTGAACATGGTGATATTTGGTGCTTCAGATTTTTTAGTAGGCAAAGTACTCGAAATACACCGAAATTTAGTGCTGGATTAGATGATCTCCAGAGATCCCCTCTAACCCTTACAATTCTGTGACTCTGTGATTGTATTTAAAAATTACTTACTGATCCATCTGTTGGATTTATGGTATCGTATGTTTTTCCATCATCAGCATTGACAAATTGACCATTAATGAAACACTGGTATGGCATATTCACAGTCATATTGTTCACATTTTTTGAAACCTAGGAGCAAAATAAATAAGAAGTTAATTTACCTTTTTAACAATTAAGGTTTTAATGCAGCTTATCAGGGTTTTGATATGTATACATGTATATATATGGGTAGTCAACATTAAGCTGAATTTTAGGATGTATATATGGCTGTTAGGAATGCCCAGAAAGGCAAAATTAAATGCAAGTAACATTATCCATTAACACCACTGCCCACACTCCGAGACAGTTAAGCTGATTTCTGTATTTTTTAATCACTGGATCTCTATGGTTAAATAAATACTAAATCCTGGTTAAGGCTAGTCCCAGTGGAACTGAAACACATGCTTAACTTCTAAATTCAAGAAATTCTGACTTGCTTAATCACTTCATAAAACACATAATCTTCTCTTTTCTTAGGAGTGAGTCTGGCACATTGTGCCTCAGGACAGAAGGCCTGGAACCACTGTGACTGAGGCGTTCTGGTAGGAGAGTGCAGGGGCAGTAGGAGTATCTGCCCATGTGCAAGCCACTCTATTCTAGATCTCACAGTTTCTAGAACACCATAACACTGTACATGACTTTACATACGTACTTCCAATTCAAAATGCCAATATGTAAAACTTGAAAAACAAAAGTTACAAAGGAGAGTTTGCATGACGAAACAGTTGCTTTCCTCATTGCATCAAGCAATCCAGTGTCTATTCCTCTTCCAAAAAAAACCCAAAGAAACAACAACCCACAAATAAAGAATAACCAGGGAAGGGAAAATAAAAGGTCTTACATAATCAACGACCAACTCTTCTTCTCCGTCCTCTCCTCTGAGTTTTCTGACAGCCATTTGAATAAAGTCTGCAAACTTAGTGGCCATATACACATCTTCATTCTGAAGCTGAAGCCCGCTGTATTTCTGTTTGATCTCTTCTAGCATTCTGAGGATTTTAAAGAAAGAATAAGTTAAATTACAAATGGAAGAATTATTCAGATAAACAAGCCATTGGAAGGTGGAAAGAGGTCAAAACTGGGCACCAGTTTGTGTGCATTTGAATATACGTGTATCTGTTTCTCTGAGAATACTTTCTGATAAACATTTGTAAATAAATGATAAATAGCATATATTGATAGACAAAACTGCATATGAGATGACCCTAACCCATACACAGAGGCAGTTTAGAGCTCTATGAGACTGGTATTTTAGGACAATAATACATTAATTAAAAAAACAACAAAAAAACAATGATATGCTAATCTTATATTATGGCCTAGGATATCTGACTTGCAAAAAGAAGTTAACTGAGGTGACCCATTAAATTCTGTGCAATTGTATGCATGGGTTGAACTACTTCTATGAATGGCTCCTCTCTCCCTCTGGGGAGTTCTTTGCTCAGCTTCTCAATCAGCCCCCCTGAGATACTTGTTACTACATGCAGACAGGTTTGGGCACCACCATGCTTCCCTGTGAGGCTGCTGTTCCTGATGCTAAGGGGAACTTCGCTTGAATAGAAAGACCAGTAAGTCCTAGTTTTGGGAACAGAGCCCCATCACATTTTCAAAGGTAGAAAAATCAACATTTCAAGTACTGGAAAAGACACTGGATTTTTAGTTTTTTTTTAATATTATCCACCCTGACTTAAAAGCACTGTGACAATATTGTTCCCATTAACTTTTGCTTCATAATTTCCTTGTTTAGATTAGTTTTATACCTGACAACATGCATAGAGGATGCTCCAGATTTGAAGAAGTCTGTGGAATCTTCTATTACAGGAACATTGCTCAAAATTCCTTTCCAGATAGCCTAATAATATATAAAAATTGTGGAAGCAATAATTAACAATCCTCTACTTGAAGTATTTATCACACAATATTTTCTAAGATATTCATGCCTGTGAATGCATTATTTCTAAAGATCCTAAAACAGAAAACTATCTTAAGAGGATCTGGAAATGCAGGCCTCACATTAGCCAATAAAATCTCCAGCAAAATTATATAAAAAATGATTATTTCAGCCATGATAATTTCACCTAATCAGGCAAGGAACCTAAATGCTACAATGCTAAAAATGTACAGGCCCATTTTTAAGATCTTTATGAACAATATTAACAATATTAACAATAACTTCTCACTGCATTATGGAATATGCTGTCAGCAGAGGTGGGAGCAGCCTGGAGAACGTTGTGACAGGATGGATGGAATTTCTGGCACCTGGGCAAAGTTGAGAAGTAGTTTAACCTGCATGCATTCAATGGACATCCCTGCTAACACACAAGCTGAAATAACTGGCAGAGAGACATATCAATTAAGTATAATTAGGTTTCAGAGTTAGCAGTTCATGTCTTGAACTAAAGAGTTCATATTTCTTTTAGCTGTTGTTTTAGTCAGTCAATCCTTCAGCACTTCAGTTGCTGGCAAGCAAGTTCAAGGTAATGTTGGAGCAGCAGCTTAAAACATGAGCGCATCAAGCTGCCTGGCTTGTGTCAAAAGTTACTGACTGTAGCAGAGTTAGGAGAAGGGAAGATATCTATGATTTGGTTGCTCTGGCACAAAACCTAAATTACTGACCAACGTGGCTTTGAGTTAAGCACATGACACTCATTACCAAGGGGCAGATTACAGAAGAGAGCAGCAAGGTGCCTCTCTGGCCTTGGCGACCTTTTGCTCCAGCTGCCCTACTGCTGCATTCCCTCTACCAGCTAGATCTCTGAGCTCTTTCTGGGCTCTCTAAGTAGCACCAGTCCCTGGACATCAGGGCAGAACAAAACTATTGGAGCAACTACCAGCCAGCTTACTAATAGCTAAAGTAACAAAGGCACAGGGAGAAAATCGCTGCTTTTCTCTTTCAGACTGCTGTTTCAAGACTCCCTGGATCTTGTCCACAAGAACCACTTTTGACAGCATGCAAGTGAATGACATCACAGTTCAAGGCTGTTTTCAGTAGACTCACTGTTGTGACATAACTTCATTTTTTGAGATAAAGATCTCTTAGTTTCTCCTGACTCTTCCCTTGCTCCCACCTTCATCATTCATAAACATTTACCATAACTGCCTCTGTGATCACTGTTTTTGTATCACTTGCATATGAAATAAAATTTGATAAGGATACGTCTAAGCTTATTGAGAACTCTTAAATCCATTCAAATTAATTTTACTAACTGAAGACTCATACAATATTTTTTCAAAGACAATCTGCATGGTTAAATAAACGATATGCCACTCATGAGAATGAAGTGATGTTTTCATCTGAAGTAATATTCAACTTAAGCAGTTTGTTGAATTACCTTAATATCTTCTGCCATCTTCTTCTCCTCTTCTGTAAGTTCCAGGGTAGTTGTTTCATCAGCAGAGAAGTATTTAGAAGCAGGGATCATTTTTCCATCCTGAAACTGCAGATTTCTCACTAATACCTGAAAATTGAGGGGGATATGAGCTTGTATGCATCAGTATGGTCACAAATAGTAAAATGTGTGCCTTGCAGGAAAGCTGATATGATATATATAATATAAAACAGGACATTCCTACTTGTCCTTCAGATTATCCTCTATACTAATACATTTTTAATCCTTACTGAAAATGAATATATTGAGTGTGAAGCAAAACACGGATATCCTATCTATAGGATGGTGGTGCACTGGTAAATGTCAAACAAAACAGCTACCATTTGCAGCTGGATTTGTACAACCTCACAATTCCACACTACCTGCACTTCTTGCTAATTTATTCCATCCATACTCATGTTTGTCAGATGGAGCACTTACCATCTTCCCATCATTACCAAAAATGACTAGACCATTCTTGGTTACAAGTCCAGGTCTTGAAGCACCTCTTATTGCCAGCTCTTGTCCAGCAGGCACTGAAGCATCAAGTAATGATGAACCATAAAAAGTAACCATCTAAAAGTAAAGGGAATTAAAAGTACATAGATTCTAAACAAGTTTTAAAAACCAAATAACTGACATTGTTTGGAAACTGATACAATACAAAGTAATACAAAGGTGCAAACCATGTTACAATGTAATTTCTGTATCTTTACAACCCGGGACATGTAAAACTTCGCAAGCTGCCTAAACCTGCAAAGCTGCTTAGCTTTAACATTGTGCATGACTAAACCAGTGCAAAAAGGGAAGGAACATTTGACAGTATAAAACAGTATATGAACAGCAGAAGCCAGACTTAAGTGTTGGAGTCCAGATCTGCCTCCAGGCTGGCGCTGCTGAACTTGGGCTCTTTTGCTTTTTCTGGGCTCTCAAAGCATCATCAGTCCCTGGACACCAGTGCAGAACCAGGCTTTTGGGACAATCTACCCATAGATGGCTAATTTTTAAGTAAAAAAAATTAGGATGTCAGAGCCAGGAAATGTGATTTTTAAAATATTTTATGCAAGTAAAATGTGGATCATATGCATAATGGTCTTAAAACATCAAAAGGAAATAGCCGTTCAGAGATAAAATTAGGCATATTTATTTCTGCAAGTGATTTTTGTATTCCCAGGCCCGAATTTCTTTTAGAAAACCCTTCCTTTGCTATTTCTGTTACTCACAGTGTTTCATTTTTCTGTTACATGGTGGCGGTGCCCTTTCATTATGGGTTTCATTGCACTGTAATGCTTATCTGCTTCCTAAAATGACTGCGGTTCTAGCCTTGTTATTTACTGCTTCATACCATGTATTTTTTTATATACTGTTCTTATCTTTTAATTAAATTATGATTTAAAAAAATTAGCTATATACAGTTATCAAATGAGCTCCTCCAGTGTAATTCACATATTAATTCACCTGCATGCACACACTCATAGCTTTTATAAGAGAAAACAGCCACAAATTGGGTGTGGAATTTACAGAGCATACCTGGTCATTTATTGTTGCCCATGCTCCAGGTACTTTATCATGCCCTCGGATCCAGTTGTGCAAAGCTGCTGCAGGTTGATCCCAGGAGATCTAGGAAATCATGACATACCAGCTAACTCTTCTCTCTTTAGTTACAAATCAAGTTATTAATGTTTACCACTTCACAAATTTTTCCCTCGCTTTCTTTCAGCTGTTAGGAACACAGAAAGGGTCTGATCTAATATAGGAAGATCAGTGATCTCTACGTGGCTGATTATCAAAGATCTATTAAATGGGATGCTCTTCCTATCATATGGGATGATCTTAACACTTCTCTGCTCTGTGCAGTTTTTATCTGTCCACAGATTCTCCTTCTCATACTAAAATACTGGTAACATAACTCTTGGTACTAGGTATTCATTGACTCATAAATAATATTATGATTAACAAATTTAATAAGCATAGTATAAATGTAAAAAGTGTGTGTTTCCACTTCCTAACTTCCAACCCATTTCTGGTAAAGAAAACAGCATAGACTATTGGCAAACATGCTAGGACAGTTTTATCCCCGTTCAGTGTTATATTTCACAGTATGGTAACTTAAGTACCCACAGAAGGCACAACAGCCATCTAGCTACGTGCAGATGATCCCAAGTAGATCAAGTTTTTAAACATACGTAACTGCTGGCTGACAATATGAACTTAACCTGAGTCTTCATGGATTTGTCCCAGAAATAGGAGGGGAAGAAACAACTGAGTTAAAACGTACATTCATTTCAAGTCACTGCTATTGCAGTCTGAATTAGCAACAACTTCTTCTAGTAATTGGCACGTATCACAATGTTACTTAACAGTACCTCTGCATTTTCCTTTTTCTGGATCCCTTCATATGTTGCCCCTTCTTTTGGCTGAGGTATACGAGGCGCCTTACCATCAGCAATTAGATGTACAGCTTCCACCTAAGTAAAAAGGAACAGATTTAACATCAGCTTGGTTCTCCTTTTGTCCTCAGTCACGCTCATGGCTGACAGAAGAAAATTTTCATCCACAAGAGGAAATGGTTTATTTTCAGAACCCAGGTCTTCCAAAATCTAGGGGACCACTGTGGCACTGGTTAATGTACATATATTCTTGAGAAACTTCTGTGACAAAAGAAATAGCCTCAGAATATGATGGGAGTACCTAGTCACCACACATACAGCAGCTGCCGGAATTAAGCAGGACCAGAGTATAGGTAAGGACAGAATGTGGCTCTGTACCTTTGCATTCCTTTGCATTCATCTCTTTCCCTTTTCTTTCTGCAAAGAAAATTATTTCTATACACTCAGGACAAACCTGAACTCTTGTCTTCTGCAAAAACAGGATATGCTCTGCCCACTGTCAGCAACAAATATTCTGAGGCCACCTCCTCAGCTGCTGTAAAGCAATAGAGTTCCTCTGAAGTTTAGAGTTCCTGTGAAGTTTAGAATTCATCTGAGCACCTCAATCTCTCTCCCCAAATGTAACCATCTAGTCCATATTTCCTTTTTTTTTTTTTTTTTTTGTCGTTTCAAACTCCAGCAGATGCTATTCTTTTCTTATAAAATGTTTAGTACAGGTAAACATACCATAGCCTTTACTCCTTCTGGGAAGAGAAACCGGTTATACAGATCATCCACAGTATCATTTTGGCCAACATCACATTCTCGCTGCAGAAGTATTGGTCCAGTGTCCAAACCATCATCAGCCCAAAAAATTGTAAATCCTGCTTTCTTATCTCCTTGAATTAAAGTCCTGGAGGTGAAAGAAGCCTTACAGTAAATAGAGAAAATGTGAAAGCAGCCAAGGATATCCATGTATGTGTTACACATTCATTTGCTTTATGCAGATTGAAGATCCCAACTGTCTTTATCACCGGTTTCATTGCTCATTTCATAGTCAAGTACCCAGAGCTTTGATACTGTATATATATTTTTCACAAAGTGACATAAGAAAGGCTGCAGCTGAATCCAGAGTGCCCATCACAGTCATTGTGCTACTTAAAATGCATTATCAGTGGCTTAAATGTATAGAGCAGAAAGTGTGCAATAGCTGTGTGTGTTTGAAAGATGGAAGCATCTAAACAGTCTAAATAATTCCTAATTGTTTATTGTAATTAGCTAAGCTTCACAGCTTATCTGTAGGTCAGCAAGAGAAGCACACTTGTCTCACAGCTGAAAAAGAGCTAAACCAACAGTGGAAAATGGTGGACACTTAGCAAAATACTAATACACAACTTTTTAAGGAAAAACCATCGGGGGAATTTATATCCAGTCAGATTCTCAGCTGGTCTGCATGAACATAGCACTAGTTATACAGCAGATCTATACTAATTTACATAAACTCAGGATTTGTTTCTGAACTTGAAGGGGAATCCAGCCAGATAGATTTTCCACTTGTCCCTTGGAGATGCAGGTACTTCAGAATGATGGAAAGTCAAAGTGCTTAAGGGAGCATGCATTTGTGTAGAAAGAGGGGCAAACTCTGAAGACAGTTGGGGGAGTTTGTAGTTCAAATAAAAGTGAAACAGATAACAGATCCTCCACAAACTGAAGCAGCATCTCATATGTTTTATATTCTCTGGAAATACAGAATGATCACACTAATGCATGTCCTCAGTATTGTTCTGGCAGAGAAGAAAGTACTGTGAAAAAACATCTCTGATGCTGAGCAGACAACAGGATGAGAACTCCTGAGAACTCCTTCTTCTGTGCACCATCTCCAAGCTCCCTCCAAGCAGATGGCTGCTGATAACAAAGTGGCAGCAGCTGGAAGAGGCTGTAAAGAATGGAGTGAAGAACCCTCAGAGATTCAGGACCCTTGCCTGTAACAGATGCCTCTTAGACATGCCTCGTTCCCACTGGTTTTCTCAGTCATGGTGTTTGTGTGGGAAAAGGGTCTGCCACAGCTCATGGGCTGCGGCCATAACAGATGGAAAAAACTGTAACAAGAGCAAGGGGTGTAAGGCTGAAACATGAGAGTCATCAGAAAAGGCCAAACTAAAGTTAAATTCTAGCATAGTTAAAAGGTCTTACAAGAACAGCCTTTATCTGCAAAGGGCAAAAGCATATGCTTACAGAATGAACATGCAAAACAGGGCAAGACTTGGTGATAGACCACTGGGATACATTCCTGATTCCAGAAATTTTTACCTCAGGAACTTACTGAAAGATAGTTGGTATGTCTGTATCTACACCTTCCTGTGGAACAGATCTTAATGAACCCTTTCTCCAAGAAAACTTCTTTCTTGACCTCTCTCTCTAGATGAACAGTTCCACAGGTTAATAACTGACTGAAAGGAGACTTTATTTATTCAAATCCTACCATCTGATCTCTTTGTTGGCTGCCTCCTCACTTTGATTAAGAAAAAATGAGCAATCGCTCTCTATTCACCTTCCCATGTCTTTCACGAATTTTTATACTGCTGACATATTTCCTTCCCAGTGATCTGTTTTACACTTTGAAGACTCTTAGATTTATCTGCCATCATGCAGAAGTTGGTCTATACCAAGATTTTTCTGAGGCATTTCTACTTCCTTCATGCACTAAGATCCTTCCCATGGTCTGTTTTCTGAACAACAACTTAGATTTTACTGCTTATACAAAGTCAGCTTTTTTCCTCTTATGTATCATTACCTTATGTCTTTTTAACTTCAAATTTTACCTCCTGTTTTCTGGATCTTAATTTACTCACCTACGTATTGTAGTAACACCTTAAGCTCCTTCACTTAGAATACCAATATATGTCTTCTGCTATGCCATACTTTTTGCTTAGCACCTTTTTATATCAAACACCTACATAACTCTACGTACCTCCCACCTTTAGCACATTTGAGAAAATGGTTGTTATTCAATTTTGTGCCTTAAAAGCTGGCCCTTTGTATGTTTTACAGATTTGGTGCTCTTTCTTATTTTACTTCTTTGGACAGAAATGCCACTTTCTGAAGGATTTCCTTGCATCTCTAATGGTCTCCTTTACTCTCCATTCAAGTACTCTTTTCAAGTACTTCAGCTTAGCTTTTTTTTTTTCACTGTGGGTCATTATTCAAAAAACAAAACATGCTTTTGCTTTGAATTTACAGCATTAATTTTTTAGATAATCATCATGACACCTGCAAGAGTCTTTTTTTTTAAATATATTGAGGCAATTTCTCTTTGAATTTAAACATAATGATATGGACATTTCTTTTGACATAGGAAAGCTACATCAGAATCCACTGTGCTCGTTACTGTAGTTTAGTTCTGTCAAGTAACATTTTCAATCTAGCCTTGTGCATTGCAAAGGATGATAAAGTTTTTCTTCTTATGGATTCTTTCATCTCTTTCTTTCCCTTCTGTGAAGTCTTAGACTCTTCACGAAGCTCTGTTGTGACAGTTACCTATTGTTTGAAGGGGGCTAGCTGAAAGGGTATCATCCTGCCTATGGAAACTAAATATTGATGATATACCCGTGTGAGTAAAATACACAAATCCACAGACCATACCACTGATCTTCCAGGAACAACAGCTGCACTTTTGGTGGAAATAATATTGAGTCTCTGGTATGAAGTGCAGTCCATGATCCAAATACTCAGCTGCTTTGGAGAAGCTGTTTCAGAGCAGTTGCAAGGCAACAGAACTGTGTCAATGTTTACAAAAATAATGGATTTGGCCCAACATCCTAACAGAAACATTAAAACTACACTGCAGTTCTGATGAACAACAGGCAAAAGCTTACCAGTTGATTGCAGAAGCTCCTCGGTGGCGTGGTAGGATGGATGGATGGTAAATAATTGAGCCATGTTTTGGGCAGTCAATGACATCCATTGGGATGAACTGTGTACAGAATGGAAGGACATTTAGCTCTGCTCCAACCGATTTGTAGGCTGCAATTACTTCCTGGATAGGCTTGCCTTTAGTTCTCCATCTGGGAAATTTAAAAACAGGAGTGCCATCCTTCTCTGCTGCCAGTGCTGAGGGACAAAAATATATGCTTCTTTAATTCACATTTGGTGTTAAAAATTCAAACTGAAATAAGTTTTATACGACAACTCAGATAGTGAAATGTACTACAGATAGCCCTTTTTTACTGTTCTGTATGCTACTTAAATAAAACTTTACACTTGGATAAATTTGATTAATTATGTCATTGATTCTCATTACTATAGCTTGGGCCATTCTCAACTTTAATTTTGCTCTCATGGCTTGTTACTAAGAGTGATGAATGCCACTGAATATTAAATAATGACACTTCATTTCTTGTCTGGTCATTACATTTGCCTGCAACTTGTTTAGCACAGCTTAATTTTACCATTCACATTTGTATTTGATTACAAATATGAGCCTGTGTCAGCAGCAATTTACCATTTGGCTCAAATAATTACAGATGCTAGAAGCCTTCAGTCATTTCTTCAATATTCTGTTTACTGATGCTTTCTGGATATGCTCCCATTTATCTGTGAGAGACACAGCTATATCAAGGATTTAGCTCAAGGGTGAGAAAAAGCAACTGCGTTATTGCAAACAGAATCTTCAGATGTTTGATAAACTCCACTGAACATCTGCTTAACAAACCATCACAGAAAAAACGGTAGAGTCAAACTCTACAGCTGTTGAGCTGAATCTGTAATAGGAAGAAAAGGGAATACAGAAAATTCACTTAATTTAACTCCTATTTCTAAACACTTTTTGGATTTCCTTCCTCTTTTTCATTTCTAGAATTGAATTTTGAGTTTGACCTGAAACATCATTAGCCTATTAACATAGTTCCTAAGTAAATACTTACTGAAGTATCATTCCACACAGTGCTTTGCAAGCTAGCATGCACTGGAATTGCTTTTAGAAATAAAAATCATAGCTGACTGAGGATATAGAAACACTAAAAAATTTCACTTGCGACTTAAGTTGTTTGGATCATCAGAGAGTAAAAAAAAAAGAAAGAAGTCTTAGGAAAGCAGCAAACATTCTACAGCTCAATTAAAATGGTCGTGATGGAAATGAGCCAAAGATTTGTTGAGTTACATCTGCTAGTATAAAAACTGTATAATAATAGTTTCTATAATGCAACCAACTGTTACGGTATGCTTCCAGAGCTGGACAGACACATCGTCTTTTTCTAAACCAATAAATATCTCCTATAATTTTTCCAGTGTATGATAACTCTTTCAATGAGGTCACAGAATGCAACAAACTTGAGAGCTGTTGGGAATGCCACAGAACAAGTAAGAAAAATCTACGTTTGATTCTTCCCTCATTCTATAAAAACATGTCAGGACCCGAACAGATCAAAAAAAAGAGACACTTGAGACAGGTCATGGAATGTAGTTTTAATTTCTGTTAATTCATACAGGTAAGTTCTTCTTTGGCACTTGTTAATCCTATTAACTCACCATTTTTGTGGCACTGAAAAATAAGAGAAAGTTACAATTCAGATAATGGCTACAAAGCAGCTTCTTCACCACGCTATTTTCCGCTGTATGAGTTCAATTTTGAATATCTCTTAGAAAGTTTCCAAAATCTTGACAATGTAAAAAAGAAGAGCAAAGCCTCTTTTACTCTTTCCAGTGAGTTTTCCTTAGTCTAAATGGAAGATAAATAGGTTCTGCAGGTATATTGCTGCATACAAACTTGTCAGAAAGAGCAGAAAGCCAAGAATAAACAGGCTTGGCTCCAAGACTTGAGTGTCCCAGGCAGCACCATGGAACAGGTGACAGACATTTGTGCTTGTGTGCAGGCCCAGCAGCTATTTGCTAATACATCCTGTGAAGTCAGGAGCTCATCAAGACTAATGGACTGTCCCTCAAACCTACTTCTACATATTTTGATTATTATTAAGATACAGATCTAGTTCAGGATGGTACTTCTAGGTAGACATTCAAATAAGGTACCCAGATTAATTTATTTTAAAAGAAAATATCGTAGCATATGGCCCTGCACAGCTAGAAACAATTTTTAAATGCTCACTAATTAACAAAGTGTTAAACCAGCTCTGGGACTTGTGTATTCATTTAAGCATAGTTCTTGTGCTGAACCCAATGTATCAAAGGCAATATATGTAATACATGCATATGTAAGTCACTCCCATGCAGACAGAGCAAGGCAAGTTCTGTATGCCTGTAATGTCAGCATTTAGATTAAGTACACTTACCCAAAGGATCAGCTTGTCCATTCTTGTCAGGCACTGTGAAAACTCCCACAACTTTATGGCCCTCTTTCCTCAGCTTGTTATAAACCTCTTGTCCAAAAATGCTTTGACCTATAAGGGCTAGCTTTAGCTTATGCTGGTATGCCTGATCAAAAGAATTAAAATAAACCATGTTATAGGATATATAGTATTTATGTTGCTGTTTTATAGTATTTATGTTTCTCTTTTGCTCTTTCAGCATTATTTTTAATTTAAAGTGAAATAATCTTTTTTCATTTGAAGGAAAAGCAATCAGTTTTTTAGATAAGCAATAGGCAATGTGTAGTTCTGTGAGACCACACTGAGCATAAAGTATCAGCAGATACTACGTTTATGTATATTGGTTTCCCATAATTTTCATTAGACAGACTCACTGCTTGCTACAAGAGGTGTAACAGGCTCCATTATCTTACTCCTGGACATAAGATATGATATTAAATGAAACAATATTTTTGAAAACATTAAAAACATTTTCTCTTGGCATAACATTGGTGCCTGGAGCATGCCTCTAAATCCCTTTAATTAAATGGTGGCGTATAATTTGTTGTTAACATGGATACACAAAGAAGACAAGCTCATGTTTTTCCTACCAAGTTAAAGGTAGTGATCATTTATTCAATCTTCCTACAAGGGAACACTGCTACTCAGTGCCCTTGCTGGACTTTCCCAGCCTTCTGTGTTTGCTTCTAAGTTCAGTGGATACAAGCTTTCAAGCTTCTTCAGACTGAGCAGATGCCAATAGCTGCCCCACCTTTTGATTTTTAGGGGAGTGAGAATAATGACACTACATGATATCAGAAAATCACTTACTGCTGCTTTACTTAAGCTCTCAAACCCTGAGAAAAGTACTAACTCCCTTAGACTCCTCAAAATCTGAAGAGCAGTCTTCTGCAGAATACCAGCTTTGAGGACGTTCTGATTTCCTTTTTTCCTTCCAGGAAAACATGCCAGCTGGAGCACAGCGTATGTTTTCTGGGCAGGATGTAGTACTTGTATGAACAGGAAAGGCAGGGAGAAATGGCCCAGATTCAGTGAAACTGCTCCAACTTTGAAACTGCTCCAAGATTAATAGAATTTTACTGTGAACACTACAAGTACACTGGGATGCTCTTCAAATAACCCAAGATCTTGTAGAACCACAAAATCATCCAGATTGGAAAAGGCCTTCCAGATTCAAGTCCAATATGTACCTACGAATACCAACATCTGACCTATGAAATCCCATCACTAAGCCTCAGTGCCTCCCTCAGTGCCACGTCCACAATCCTACAATCCTCCTCACATATGCCTCCTCGCTTCCTTCCTGAAGAAGTCTTCCTGAGAGTACTGAGATAGGTGGACACTGACCTAACAAAACACGCCTAATTCTTAACTGATTCACAGATCTAGTTCATTGCACTGCCATGAGCCCTAATGCAGGTCCAGCAGGGTACGAGAATGAGCAGAGAGTGGGATTGTCCCTGCAAGCACTTCCTTTGCATTTTTCAACCTTTAAAAAATAAACAGACCTAGCAACGAAGGAAAGGTTCACATAAACAAAAAAGCTTGCCTTCCCCAAAGCTGAATCGGACAGAAACTTCTTCCAGACCCAGACTATTAAAGACTCAGACTTCTTGGGAGGCCCCTGAATGAAAGGTGGAATATAAATCCACATCCTCACCTTCGTCCTAACTTTCATCTTTGCCAAATGGACTTCAACTGCCATTTTTTCCTGAATGACACACTGGATGCCACAAGCTCAGAAGGGTAAATAGGAACCAACTATCAACTCTTCATCAACATTTTGAAAGGACAGATAACAGCAGGACAAGGAGAAATGGCTTTAACTTGAGGGATTTAGGTTGGATGTCAGGGGGAAGTTCTTTACAGAGAGAGTGGCGAGGTGCTGGCACAGGCTGCCCAGAGAGGTTGTGGCTGCCCCATCCCTAGAGGAGTTCAAGGCCAGGTTGGATGGGGCCCTGGGCATCCTGGTCTAGTATTAAATGGGGAGGTTGGTGGCCCTGCATGTGGCAGGGGGGTTGGAAATTCATGATTCTGTGAATCAAAGCACTGAATATTTTAACCACTGGTATTTGTGCTGTATGTTGACACACATTTTTCTTCTCCTTCCTCTCTTCCCTTTCTTATGGAGTCTGGGACATGAGGATCCTTGACAAAATGGGTTATTGACTGAATGCTAAACAGTCTGGACTGCCCATCAGATCATATGACAAATGTCCTGAGAAACAGATTACTCAAAACCACAGTCCATTTCATCACAATTCATTTCACAGTTGAAATACTGTGGATGAATCTTGATGTTTTCAAGCTTTAGTTTTAGTTCTGCAGATGGCCTCAGAGAAAGAGCATTACAAAATAGAAGGTTCCACTACAGGAACGCTGAAGCAAGCTTGTTATTTTATGCATACTGTTTTTATGTAAAGCAGTAGGCAATAACTATTTGTCCAAAGGCAGTATTTTCTATCAGAACGAAGCTCCATGGCCAAACTTCTCTGTATTACAGCATTAGTCAGCTTGCTTGCAATCGAAGCAGTACTAAATAATTGCAAAGGTGAACATAACTTGGGCTGCTGCAAGATTAGATTTTTACGGCTGGATGGTGGAAATCCTTTGCAAGACCAGTGATACTGGTGCTCCTAACCAATGCTGCACTGTTGCTAGTTATGCTTAAAATACATCCACTATCTCGAAGACATTAGTAAAGACAAGTCCCTGCTGTGAATTTAATCTAGTAAGGCTCAGTGGATACAAGTAGATTGTATAACCAGTGTTTTTATGACAATATTTTTACTTTCACAGCAAAAACACTGCTGCCTTATCAAAATCAGTCATCAGATTTTCGTAATTGTTTAATTATTTTAAGTATACCAGGGGAAATACATGGGGAAAGATAAATGTGCTGGCTCACTGAACATGCTTGGCATGGAAATCCTTTGATCTCTGTACAGAGCCAATTTAAAGTGGGAACCCAACCAGTACAATGAAGAAATACTGAAGATAGTCCAGATATGAGTTACTTCTACTCTCGTCCTTCTGTTAACATCTCTCAGAAAGAACACAAGACTGAAAGTGTTCTGCTTAGTTAAAATCCAGTCCTATGCCATCACAAGTGATCATGTAATACAATTGCTTTTACAGATTTATCCAACCTCCATTCTAAATTACTTTTCAAGTACTTGCTGCTGTACTCTACTCTATTGCTTTTTTGATATTCAGCAATCTTCTTTGAAATTTACAGTCCAAATTTACCATCGCTTTAAGAGCTACTTTCTCTCCTCTTATTCACAAAGTGTTACATATAGCATTGCTGTTTATCTTGCTCCAAAGCTTCTGCTCTGAACAGTTTTTCTTGTATTCCCTCATAGCATAATGCTAAACTTGACTCTTGGTTCATGTTCCTCTGTGAAGAAGTCTGGCTATCATATTACATGGCACTCTGTATCGGTTCCAGTTCCAAATCACGAGTTGCTGTAAATCAATATCTTTTCCTTACGTTAAGTAAGTCATACTAGCTTAATTCACATTAATTGTGGAGCTGAGTCAGCAAATGATAAGAAGTAAAGAGAGGACTATGTTCTATGAAGGACTGAGGAGTTAAGAATGCAGATGGGCTCAGAAAGTTCCATTTCTTAATGGCATTGCACAAAAAGATCAGCCTGGCAAGAAATCAACTCTGGTGTCTCATGTGCATAGAAAGCTACTCAGATGGAGACCTAATTCAATTGCAGAATGGATCTTTCAACTGTTGATGCTTCAGTTACTTCTCCAACAAGTGGTACATGGGTACTGTGTGACTGTTACTAGCACCTGGCTTAGATGTGGCAGTTTGCTTCTCTCACCATAACACATGCTTTGTCATCAGCAGAAAGCAGGAGCCAAACTCACAAGTCTGTTGGGTTCTGTGGGAGAAATCCCGTATGTGGAAGGACTTGCAAGTTTAGACCACAAATTCAGTCCTTCATTTTTTGTCTTATTTGAAAAATGACAATTGATTCACTGCAAAAAAATCTAAGAGCCCGATCCTATCTTATTTTGGAAACTCTCCTCAAGAATTTCTACCTAAGATGAGTCAGACCAGTGAAAGTGGGAAATCCTTTTTGAAGAATTAGGTATGAACAAAACACCCAGTTAAAATGGAAAGTAGTACAAAATTACATGGAAATAAAAAAATGTTAGTGTTTTCTTTCTTATGGAAATGGCATATCTGCGGCAGGACACCATCAGTACCACTCAGCATAAAGCTGTAGAAAGGAGGTCTTTAAAGAACATCAAAACAATGCTATTGAATAAAGTGATGGACGGGTACGGGAGCATTATCACTGGCACATCCAAAGAACAAACTTATCACTGTTTTTGTCAGCAATGTTAAGAGTTACATTGGATTTTGTTTGCAGTTGCCTGGCTCACTGTGGATATATGATATTCATCAACAGACACTCCTTTTCATGGGAAAATTAATGGTCATGTATAATCGCAGTGCACTTCTTGTTTTGTTCCTGCAAGGATGCCCAGTTCCTACTTACAAGAAACAATGGAGCCCAGACGGTTTGCAGAGATCTGGTCTTTCTCTTGTTAGTTAAGCAGTCACAGGATAACGAGGTTAATATGACAGTGCTCTCAAAAGATAAGCTGCTGCTCACTCTACTGTAACTCTGTTGGTTTTGAGTTCAACACTGCATAGAGAAGCAGCCAAACAAAATCTAGTGACTACTCTCAACTCTTTGAAAAGATAGTAACAGTAGGACAAGGGGAAATGGCTTTAAATTGAGGGAGGGAAGATTTAAGTAGGAGGAAGTTCTTTACAGAGTGAGTGGTGAGGTGCTAGAACAGGCTGCCCAGAGAGGTTGTGGATGCCCCATCCCTGGAGGTGTTCAAGGCCAGGTTGGATGGGGACCTGGGCAGCCTGGTCTGATATTCAATGTGGAGGTTGGTGGCCCTGCCTGTGGCAGGGGGGTTGGAGATTCACGATCCTTGAGGCCCCTTCCAACCCTGGCCATTCTGTGATTCTGTGATATTCTGTCAAACTGTTCTTCCTAACAAGGGAGTCAAGTCCAAAAGTTACACATTCTTCTTTCCTTTCTAATGCTACAAAACTTTTGCTGATAAGAATATTTATTTCATAGTTAAAAATCATTTTCTGTTGCTGCTTCTCATACATGGGCATATACATAGGTCTTAACTGTAATGAGTTATCAATTTCTAATCAAATTTATTGAAGGTGAATGCTTAATAACTGCTACTCTGACTGTGAAGCTACTAAGAACACTGCAATATTTTATTTATTCTCTACAAGGATGTAGCAAAGCTAGTAAATATTTCAATATGCTGCATCTTTTCAAAGATGAATTTTAAATTGTGCCTCCTTTGAAAAGCAGTGTTGTGTCAGGATTTGTGCTAAATTCCAGTGCCTCCAAATAGAATCCAAGCATTGGGTCTTCCTCCCTCCCATTAGACATCTGTGGGCTCACAGCAGTTATTTATTCTTATCTGTTGGTCCCGCTGACTGCATTTCGTGTTCAATCTCTTTATTCTGACCTTTCCATGCAAAGCCCTTGGCATTAGTTCCTTGCACTAAACTGAGCCAGCATAACACAGTGCTCTTTAGGAAAGCAGAAGCATTCTCCCAGCCTCAGCTTGCCAGACCCAAGCATCTGGACAATGCGGATCGGGCAGGGCACTTCAAGACACTTGTACGGTCTATATACGGAAGAGGAAAAAGATAACAGCTCGGAACAAGTGCTCGGAACTGCAAAAATCTGATGCATTGGCCGCGGAGGCACTCAGGCTGTGAGGCAGAGCCAGACGGGCTCGGGAGCAGCTCCACACCCGGGGGGAGACGGCATCCACAGGCCCCCGCCAGGCCGGGCCCGGGGCCCACCGGCTCCTTCCAGCCGCATCCCCGCGACGCCCATTTGATGACCGCGGGCCGGGCAGGATGCTGCTCCGGTGCCTCAAGAAACCTCTCGCCCTCCCCGCGCCCGTACGCGCCTTACAATCCCCCCCCGACCCCCGCCCGCCTCGGCTCGGTTCGGCCCGGCCCCGTCCGTCGACGTTTAGCGCCCCGCTCACCGCGGAGCTCGTGCAGAAGGTCCGCAACAGGCGCGGGGCTGCCCGTAACATCTTGCGGTGCGCGGTCGGGCGAGCGGCGTGCCCACCCGGCGCAGCGCCTCGTCTGACGCAACCCGCGCCGATGGCGACCGACCAGATCCTGCGGCTCCGCCGCGGCGGCGCGGCCCCGCCCGGGGCGCGACGTGGAGGCCGAGGGACAGCCCCGCGCTTGCCGCCACTGCCCGGGCAGCAGCGGGAAGCCGCCGGGGGGTAGCGCCGTGCTGGGCCCTGCGGGGAGGCGAGGGGATCCGTGTCGTTCTCAAGCCGTAATAACTTCTTGTTGCGGGTAGAATCCTGGAATCGTTAAGGTAGGAAGACACCCTGTAAGATCATGTAGTCCTACCTTCAGCCCATCCCCACCGTGCTCACTAACCACATCCACACGGTTCTTGAACACAACCGGGGATGGTGACTCCACCACCCCCCCGGGCAGCCTGTGCCATTGCAGCACTACTCTTTCTGAGAAGAAATTTTTCCTAATATTCAGCCTGATCCTCCCCTGGTGAAACTTGAGGCCATTTCCTCTTATCCTAATACTGTGACCAGGGAGAAGAGGCTGACCCCTGCCTCACCACAATCTCAGGTTTTTGTAGAGAGAGATAAGGTCTGCCCTGAGCTTCTCTTCTCCAGACGGAACAACCCCAGTTCCCTCAGCTGCTCCCCATTACACTTGTGCTCCAGATCCCTTACAGCTTTCTTGCCCTTTTCACATTCCAGGGTCTCAATGTCTTTCTTGTAGTGAGGGGCCCAGAACTGAACACAGCACTCGAGATGCAACCTCACCAGTGCTGAGTACATGGGAATGATCACTTCCCCGCTCCTGCTGGCTGCACTGCTTCTTTCTGCTACAAGCCAGGATGCCATTGGCTGCCTTGGCCACCTGGGCACACTGCTGGCTCATGTTCAGCCAGCTGTCCACTAACACCCCCAGACCCTTTTCCTCTGCCCCAAGCCTGTAGCAATGCATGGGGCTGTTGTGACCAAAGTGCAGGACTTGACGTTTGGTTCTGTTGAAGCCCATACAATTGGCCTCAGACCGTTGATCCAGCCTGCCCAGATCCCTCTGTAGGCCTTCCTACCCTCAAGCAGATCAACACTTCCTCCCAGCTTGTCGTCATCTGCAAATTTAGTGTGCACTCAATCCCCTCATTAAGATCATCAATAAAGATATTAAGCAGGACTGCTCCTAGTATAGACCCATGAGGAACACCACTTGATGCCTTCATTCAGAGTACATGGTGACTTACTAGATGATGGGACAGTCAACTGAAGGAATTAAGTTCTTCTGAGGTATTGAAAACTGAACTGGCTAAACTAGCAGAATTCATCAAAAAGTCCCACTATAAGGAGGAACGTGCTTATACAAGTGATTCCTTTTCTAGTATCTGTGGCCCAAGGGTTAAAAAGAATGGTGTGCAGTAAGTCTAGAACAAGTTATGCAAATTCCAAACAACAGAGTGTAAAGAACTTTTACTGTAAACGCTGGCATGAAAAACACTTCCATACTGCAAAGTTTGGAACTGGATTCAAACACTACCAACGTTTATGTGATTCCAGATCTTGGTTCATGGTCCCAAATCTTCTCCAACCATTCACCTGGCATTTAGCAGCTGACATGTAGCCTTACGGCAAAATACCTTGTATTCTTAGATAAGCAATTTGTAATGACTTACGGCTCTATTCCTTACACCCCCACAGCGCAAATACAACAATTCATGCAGAATACACTAGGACCTTAATTAGTTGGCACATCTTGATCTCCAAAACACAGTGCCAAACCCACTGAGCCTATATCTCCATTTACCAAGGCTTTATTCCACGAACTATTAAAATGTTGGGTGACAAAAAGGAAAAATCACTGGAGAAGGTGTCCCGTGGAATCACAGTATAAAGAATAGCACGGCAGTAGGGTTCAAGACCTACTTTAGATTTTGTAGTAATGAAGAGGGAAAAGGGAAAAGACAGGGAGAAGAAGATTTGAAATCACATACAAGGATGGTATCTGCATACCATCTGCTTCTTTCTTGTGATCAGAGCTGATTAACTCAAACACCAGAGCTTTTAAAACCTGCTTAGTAAATTGACCATGTAGAATTTCAGAGATCAGTATAAACATTCATAGCCAATTCACAAGGATTTTGTTTTGTCACCTGGAAAATGACTACATTGTCCTGTCTCAGAATGAGCAATAGTAGCTTGCAAATTATCAGTTTCTTGTTAATCTAGGGAAGGATCCTAGCTCTGATGGTACCAGTTGTAGATTTTTGCAATTGATTTGGAACACATTTTAAACACTGAGTTTTCTTCTCTTGATTTCTTCCAGTTCTGCTTCCTGGTTCTTAAAGCCAAAATTTAACTTTGAAAAAAATTGCTATTATCCTCAGTAAGATTTCCAGCATGGTCATCCCCCCTAACCCAATTATTTCCATTACCTACTTTTCTAGAGAAATATGTCAGCAAGGGGCACAAACAAAAAGAGTGATATGTATAAAAACGTGACACACAAATATTATTCCTAAGTTAAACTTGTTTGTTCAACAGCGCACTTACAAAGCAAAACGTGCTTGTATGTGCAGAAATGCACACAGCAGCTGTTAAACCAAATCCAGATGAGCATAATATGATTTCTATCATGCAGAAGTTACTCTGCTTTGAGAGTGTCTTTAAAGATATAATCAAGAATTGGCAAGACCATTGCAGAAGGCTGTGTTCCACAGTACATTGAGTATACACACGTACTGAACTGCCTGGGAAGCTGCTCAATCTTCCAGAATTTATTTTCTTTTGAAAATCATACCCTGGGGGTCAGTAATTGGCTAAACTAGCTTTGAACAGGCTTTTTGTAGTTGAAAATCAGCCTTGATGAGGCTTTTCATAATGAAGAAACATTTGGTCATAGTTCAGACTCACATTCCTCAGGAGTACTTTACAATTCATCCAGCTTGAAACACTAAGTGATTAAAAAAATAAATTGAGGTTGTGTATTGGTTATTCCCTAACTATGTTAATTGCATGACAAGTTTCTACTCAAATTTTGTACAGCAACAACTTTTCTTGTTTTGCCACTCAACAACACAGGAAGCTTCTATTTCTTCTTCTCTCTCTGCAACATTTATATACAAAACTTGATTTAATTTTTTTCCCCCCATTTCAACCTTAAATTAAATCTCAGGTTAGAAACTCATGTGGTTTCCAGTGAGGTTTTCACAGTTTACTAATACAGATTTTCTGTCACATAGACAACCCCTTAAAACCAAACGCTTAACATTTCATGTTTCCAGAGTAACAAAACAGAGCATATATTAGGAGAAGAAAGGGAATTATTTTACTGATTTAAGCAGTAGAAAGAATTGTCATGTTCAGATGCCTTACTCGTACATATTATCAGAGGTCTCTCAAATTCCATACAATAAGCTAGAAACTACTTTTGAATAAGTATTATCTTTGTGGATCACAGTTGTAAAGAGCAAGGCTCAGATAGTAAATATTTTCTGGGAATCCGGCCATAAAAACTATATTTTACTTAAGATATTCATAGAATTTAGCATTAAGTGTTCCACAGATGAGGAATGTACAGCATAGCTGGATTCCTGCAGATCCAGCAAGCCACATTCCTTCTCCTGTAAGTAATTACAATTATACTAATCTTGCTGAAGATGTGCCTGCATACACTAGAAGCAGTTTCTCTGAATGCATTTCACCATTAAAAAAAAAAAAAAAAAAGGCTCCTACTTGCATTGTTAAGGTTTCCACGAAGCTACCATAAGGTTTCCATGAAGCTACCAAAGGTCATAAAAATTCTGTGAAAAATGCCACGTAACTGTATTGGTAGAACCGGGAGTTGGACTTTGTGATCCTCTTGGGTCCCTTCCAACCTGGATGACTACTCTGTGGTTCTGTGTTTCAAAGGAAAAAAGAGTTCAGTACCTCACACAGTCAAGCCTGTGTTGTTTTACCAATTTATAGACAACTAGCCACTGCATAAATAAAACAATCATAGTACCAAGCTAATTCTCCTGTATTTTGGTTTTTAATCTCCCTCTAGTCTGTTCAAAATAAATGAATCCATTCTCAACCTCTTGAAATAATATTCAGACTTCCAAGAATGTCTGTGCTAAACAAAGTCTAAAGATTTTTCTGACTGCTGTAATTTCTAAAGATACCGACAGATACTTGAGCAATCTTAGCAACTTCTCATAAGCCAGTAATAAATAAAAATTTCCTAGCACACATGAAAACCCTAAGTGTTACCTGACTGTCAGAAAAGATACTTATAAAATCTGTCAATGTCTACTTCTGCAAACGGCATAAAGCCATTCAATGAGAATTGAGTACAGTAAATTTATCAATCAGGGCTGAGCTATGCTTGATTCACTTAAACAACAGGCTTCAGGATAAAATCCAAGTAAGAAGAAATAGAAATTATAGCAGCAGCTGGGCTTGACCTCAGTGTTGGCAACAAACACACTGCCACCTAGCAAGGCACAAAAAAAACGATTAGTCTTTTAACTAATTGCATCATAAACGCCATCATAAAATTTAACTGACGTACTTGTGTGATTTTTTCGGGTTATTAAGCCTCCTGCTTCTTTCTAAGAAATGCATTAGTTCTACAATTTTCATTCTCAAATACTTTACTTTTCCCATAATCAAAATAGGTCTTGCAATGGCTTATGGTATGGTTATCTTGGTGCAGTGTGGCCGCTGCAGAAACAAACCAGCTCTTAGTGTTGGTGATCTCACAGCCTTGCAATAGCTAGCCTGCTTCTTCAGTCACTAGCTATTCCCTGAAGGTGGTACAAGGATACTCTTTTCTGAGACCTCATTGCAGCCTATCAATACCTGAAGGGAACCTACACCCAGGAGGGGAGTAAACTCTTCAGAAGGGCTGACAACAGCAGGACTAGGGGAAATGGATCCAAGTTGAAGGAGGAAAGATTTAGGTTGGATGTTAGGGGGAAGTTCTTCACAAGGAGAGTGGTTAGGCCCTGGAACGGGCTGCCCAGGGAGGTTGTGGATGCCCCGTCCTTGGACGTGTTCAAGGCCAGGTTGGACGGGGTCCTGGGCAACCTGATCTGAATGTGTACGTTTGGTGGCCCTGCTAGGCAGGGGGGTTGGAACTACATGATCCTTGAGGTCCCTTCCAACCCGGGTGATTCTGTGATTCTGTGTGAGACAAAACAAACCAACAAAAAACCGAAAACAAACAAACATACAAAAACTTTTAAAGTAGTCTGACAAACCATTTATGTGCAGTTTTCCACAGAAAGGAACAGTAGTTTGTTTCCGCAACAAGTAGATGGTTGTAGCAAAATTTTTCTACTGCTCTGCTTTTCAAAACTAAAGGACATACCTTGCCTTTGAATGCATGTATGCTGCTCTACTGAGTACAGTAAAAGCTGCATCTGTATGACTGTAGACAGAACGTGATCTTTGAAGTCAAGTATAAACTGTGATTTCATTTCGTGTGACGCTTATGTCCCCAGAGGTACATGTATGCACTGCCAGCTGCCAACATCCTGCACAATTACATTAGTAGGGAATTAAAAGCCCCATTTCAATAGCTCAACCTCACACAGAAGACTGTGAGTAGAGCAGATGTCCTTGGGCTCTGATCATAGAATCACAGAATCACAAAGGTTGGAAAAGCCTCTAAGATAATCTAGTCCTACTGCCAAACCACTCCCCCTCATGCCCACTGACCTTGTCCCTCAGTGCCACATCCACACAGTTCTGGAACACCTCCAGGGATGGTGACTTCACCACCTCCCTCAGCAGCCTGTGCCACTGCAGCACCGCTCTTCCTAAGAAGAAAATTTTCATAATGCTCAACCAGAGCCTTCCCTGGTGAAACTGTAGGCTACTTCCTCTAGTCCTGTTGGTGTTACCTGGGAGATGACGCCAAACCCCTCCTCACCGCAATTTCCTTTCAGGTCACTGTAGAGAAAGATAAGGTCTCCCCTGAGCCTCTTGTTCTCAAGACTGAAAAACCTCAGTTCCCTCAACTGCTCCCTATTAATACTTGTATTCAAACTCCTCAACACTCCCAGATCTTCTTCCTTTACTCAGCTTTTCCAGCCACTCTGCCCCAAGCCTGTAGCGATACATGGGGCTGTTGTGACTGAAGTGCAGGACCCAGCACTTAGTCCTATTGAAGCCCATACAATTGGCCTCAGCCCATTGATCCAGCCTGCTCAGATGCCTGGGTAGGGCCTTCCTACTCTCAGGCAGATCAACGCTTCCTCCCAATTTGGTGTCATTTGCAATATTAATCAGAACTGAAAAAAAAAAGAATAAAGTTAAAAAAAGAAGATACTCTGAACATTTTTCATATGATTTCTCAAAAAATTGGTTTTGATCTCTTCTTTCCCAGGTCTAGGCTGTGTAGGAGTGGAATGTTGTTTCTGCGTTAGATATTAAAAAGGGGGAATTGATCTAAAGAAGTAGAGCACAATACGCTTGTATTTTGTAACTTGTCCTTAGAAATAGCTGATGTGAAAAAAGTAGGAATAGCATATATGTTAGTAACACACTTTAGAAATACAGTTGCTGAATTGTGTGATTACTTCTTGCTCACAAAAGTGCAATAGTTTCTAAATGTTCCAAATTGTATAGGTATAGTATTATGGACTAGAAAGCATATTGTGGGGCTGTTCTGCTTGGATAAGAGATCCTCAGCAAAAGAAAAACAGACTTCACAAACATCAAAGAAGCCAGGGCCTCCACACAAGGCTGGATTGCCTTGCTCTGTGGGTAGGCTGGGATGGAACAGGCAGACATCAAGATACTCCCCCCATCCTCCTTCCAAGCTTATCTCCATGCAAGGACGAGCAGATGTCCAGAAACAATGACCAAATGTTGAATGAGCAAATGTGAGAAGTTAACTAATTAGCGAGATTTACTTAGCGAGCAAAAATCTATGGTTCGCCAGTATCTGTGTGTTTAGTTGAGCATCAGGAAGATTGTGAACCTGAAGTACTCAGCCAATGAGGAGCCAGGGGAGAAAGAGATAAGCGTTGAGTAATAGGGCATAAAAGACATAACGCTGTTTTCTGCATGCTCTCCTGCGTGCAGGAGGTCTGCCACTGCAATCGCAAATAAAATCTGCTTGGTCAGAGATACCGGCCTGATAAATTGTTTGGATATTTCCAACGGCTGGTCTCTTGAAATGTGCTGTAATGAGCTAAAAACTCACCGACAAGAGCAAGCACACCAGCCAGATCTTAGTTCCCTCTAAAATTAATCGATATGGCAAAGGACGCATTGCTTGTCTCCAGAAAACAAGTGCAGCACTGCTATTTTTAGACCGGCTGCATTACAGAGCTGGCTTTAATGGACGATCTGCAGTTACTGATCCATCTCTCCGTGGAGCTGCTATTTCTGTTGCTCTCAGCCCCATGAAATTGCTGATGCTCCCACATCGCTCTTCAGAGCCATTTCCGTTTCTGCTGATAGCACAGACTGTGCTGACGTAAAGTCGTCGCTGCGGGCACCGCAAGCGGCCCTAGTGGCACTTCCCCTGCGAAGTAAAAAAGAAGTAAAAGTAAAAAACGCTAAGCGCTTTTAGTTCTTTTGTCCTCTAACTGACATTTCCAGCGTCCCGAATGGAGCGAGGCCGGGCTGACACTGACGCCACCGCCCACCCCTCCACCACCCCGCCTCCTCCCGGAGTCCCGGTTTCCCCCCCGCCCTCCGCCTCCATTTCCCAGAGTGCGGCGCGGAGCGGGGCAGGAAGTCCCGTGCGCCTGAGTCAGGGGAGGCGGGCGCGGCGCTGCCATGGCGCTGGAGACCCTGTCCCCGGAGTGGGAGTTCGACCGCCTCGACGACGGCTCGCAGAGTGAGCACGCGGGAGGCGGAAGGGCCGGGCTGGGGCAGGGCGGGAGCGTGTGTGTGTGTGCGCACGAGGACGGAATGGGGCTGCGGGCTGAGCGGGCTGAGGAGACCCCTACCAGCCCCTATCGCGAGAGGCGGGCAGTGAGGAAGAGGAGGAAGCAGCCGTGGGAGCTGAGCGGGACCGGCCCCCATCCCGGTTCCTGCCTTCATCCCGGTTCCTGCCTTCTGCTCGCCGCGTTCAGAGCGGGCCCTGCTCCGTGCTCGCCTCAGTGGCTGTCGGGGGGTGTTTGGGTTGGGGGGGAGGGGGAGCTGCTGCGAGCTTTGCTTGTGCCCCCTGCGCGGCGGAGACCGCCGTCTTCGGCTTCTCCCGGCCGCCCCTGGGTGCCCACGCGTGTGTGCAGCATCCCCCGGGCAGGCTGAGGCAGCCTGCTGAGATCAGTGCGTTGTATGTGCTTTCTGCCGATAAAGGCTGTTTGGCACGGAGCTGGGTGTTCTCTTACACCTTTAGAAAATAGATACGTGAGACCTCGTGGTGCTGAGCTCTGTCAGTGGATGTGTGTGCCCCATCCAAATCCATGTGTTCTCTGCCTGTGGAGCTGGCTGACCTACTTCCTAAATAGAGGTGTATGGCAGTCACATTGAGATACATGCTGTGTATTGAACTCTGCCAAATTGTAGAGGGAAGGGATGCCATTCAGAGGGACCTCAACAGGCTTGAAAGATGGGCCCGGGTGAACCTAACGAGGTTCAACACAGCAAAGTGCAAGGTTTTGCACTTGGGAAAGAGGAATCCCAGGCATCCATACAGACTGGAAGGAGTGGTCCTTGAGAGCAGCCCTGCTGAGAAGGACCTGGGGGTCTTGATAGATGAGAAACTTAACATGAGCCAGCAGTATGCCCTTGCAGCTCAGAAAGTAAAT